TGTACCTATGCTGGTTCTTAGTTTGTATATTAATTTTCATAATTTTTGAAGTTAATTTGCTGTTTATTTGAAATTTTCTTTCAATTCTATTATTATTATAATTATGGTGTAATATGTTTAATGTTTATTTAGCAAGATGAGAGATCATCAAGTCTCCTAAATTATAAGAAATGATGATGATCCCTAATCAAATTCATCTTATTGATAAAAGAAAATATGCCTCCCTAGGATAATTAGAAAATTTTAAGTTGACTTAATGAGTTTTCTATTTGAATAGGAACTAATATTAGTCTCGGTCCATAATAAAGAAAAAATGGAAAAGAATTAACCAAGGTAAATACAAAATCAATTTAAATACATTTAATTAATTAGATCGTTCCTCGACATGCTCGGTGAAGTTAGGACAGAATTAGGTTCGGTAATAAATTGAATTTACTCTCGATCCCGGGGCCTAACATCACGTCACTTTAATCATATATTGGCAATCAAGTCAATTTAATACGATGCCACAAATAAAAAATTAATTTGACATAGATGATAATTTTTTTTAAATGTACTTAGAAAAATTAGGCAAAAATATAATTTTTAAGAGATATTAGTAGGATTAAACTAAACCCAGTATCTTTCCTCGAAAAAAAGTCTTTTGATGATTGTTATCTTTTCAAAAGCACAATTTAACTAGAAATGTTGAATTCAGTGAATTTTTTAGGTTTTTCAGCTACTTTTAGTACTATGTGGAAACTCTAAAACCTTTTTCTTAATTTTTTTAATTTTTCATAAATTTTTTGAAAGGTTCTTAAATGTCGGATAACAAAATATACAACGGATTAGAATCCCTAGATCTTAAGTCATTGATTTTAGGTCAATACTTCTATACATGATATGATATACATTCTAAATATATAGGGATATTATCGAGTTAATATCCATATATATATATAAGCAATAAAAGAAAATATTTTAACAATAAAGAAAAATATTCCAAGGTAATATTTCCTTCTTTAAGCATTATCTAAAAAAGTGCATAAGTCATAAATTTCACCTTTTAAATTGGAGTAACAAATCTTTTACCCGCAGACGTACAAAACATGTAAAAATTATTTAAAAAAATAATTTTAGTTTGATGGTGCTCATTATATTATGGGTCTACTAAAATATATCAAATCGAAAGTAAAAAAAAAAGTATTAAATTTTTTCTTAATTTTGTACATAACTAATTATTCATTATGCTTTTTTATAAATTTTCTACTAAAAAAATACAATTTATTTTTCTATATCTAGATTTTTAACTTAAAAGAAAATTCAAAAATCCATGAATTTTTAACTAAAAACTTTTCTCATAATTATTTGCAACTAAATCTGAGAAAAATTATGATATTCAAAAAAATCATTAATATATATTTAACCATGCCTCTATCATTTAAAACTTAAAAGAATTCGTCATATAAATTATATCAATTTTTTTAAAGAACAAATAACAATACTCTAAAAACTTATTAAAAAATTATAGTGGCAACTCCAAAACCTTTTTCTTAATTTTTTTTATTTTTTATATATTTTTTGGAAGTCTCTTAAATGTCAAATAACGACATATACAACATATTATAATAACTAAACATTAGGGTCTTTAATTCTAGGTCAATAATTCTATATATGATATGATATACCTTCTACATGTATAGAGATATTATTATTATTATTATTATTATTATTATTATATATAAAGAAAATATTTTAACAATAAAGGGAAATATTCTAAGGTAATATTGATGATTGTTATCTTTTCAAAAGCATAATCAACTCGTTAACCGGAATTTCGAATTCGGTGCTTTTTTTTTAATGTTTTTATATTACTTTAAATATTAGGTGGCAACTCCAAAATATTTTTCTTAATTTTTTTAATTTTTCATAAATTTTTTCTAAGTATCTTAAATGTCGGATAATGACATATACAACAGTACTAAAATCCTTAAGCATCACCGTCAATAATTCTATACATGATATGATATACCTACTAAATATATAGTGATATTATTAGATTAATATCCTTATATATAGATAGATAGATATAAAGAAGTTATTTTAACAATAAAAGGAAAATATTATAAGGTAATAAGTCTACTAAAATATATCAAATCGAAGGTAAAAAAAGATATTATTTTTATTTTTTAATTTTACACTTAACTAATTATTCATTATATATTTTTTATAAATTTTCTACTAACGAAACACAAATTATTCTTTTATATCCACATTCTTAACTAAAAACTTGAAAGAAAAATAAAAAATCCATAGATTCTTAACTAAAAACTTTCCTTATAATTCTTTTCAAAACAAATTTGAGAAAAATCATCTAAAAAACAATTTTAATCTTTATATATATATATAGCAACAAAAGAAAATATTTTAACAATAAATGCAAAATATTTTAACAAAGGAAAATATTTTGAGGTAATATTTCCTTCTTTTAGCATTATCTAAAAAAGTCTATAAGTCATAAATTTCACCTTTCAAATAGGAGTAACTAACTTTTTACCCATGTTACCCTTCGAGTTGAATAGAACATGTAAAAACTTCTTTAAAAAATAATTTTCGTTTGAGGTACTCACTATATCGTTGGTCTACTAGAATATACTGGATCAAAGGTAAAAAAAATGTTAGTTTTTTTTTAAATTTTTTTATTTAACTAGTTATTCATTATGTTTTTTTTTTCTACTAAAAACACAAATGATTTTTCTATATCCAAATTCTTAACTAAAAACTTGAAATAAAATTCAAAAATCCATGGATTCTTAACTAAAAAATTTTCTTATAATTTTTCTTTCAAAAAAATATGAGAAAAATTATCTTAAAAAACACTCTTATATATATAACCATGCCACTATCATCTAAAAATTATATTAATTTTTTTAAATAACAAATAATAATATTCTAAAAACTCATTAAAATAATTCTAGGTGGTGACTCCAAAACCTTTTTCTTAATTTTTTTTTTCATTTCTCATATTTTTTTGGAAGCCTCTTAAACGTTGAATAATGACATATACAACAAATTAGAATAACAAAACATTAGGGTCATTATTTCTAGGTCAATAATTCCATATGTGATATGATATACCTTCTATATATATAATCATGCTTTTATTATTTAAAAATTCAAAGAATTCATTATATAAATTATATAAAAAAAATAGCAAATAATCATACTCTGAAAAATCATTAATATATATTTAACCATGCCACTATCATCTAAAAATTAAAAGAATTCATCATATAAATTATATCAATTTTCTTTTAAAGAACAAATAACAATATTCTAAAAACTCATTAAAAAAATTCTATGTGACGACTCCAAAACTTTTCTCTTAATTTTGTTTTCATTTTTAATATATATTTTTAAAGTCTCTTAGATGTCGAATAACGACATATACAACATATTAGAATAACTAAACACTAGGGTCATTAATCCTAGGTCAACAATTCTATACATGACATGATATACCTTCTAAATATATAGGGATATTATTAGATTAATATCCATATATATATAAGCAATAAAAGAAAATATTTTAACAATAAAGGAAAATATTCTTAGGTAATATTTCCATCTTTAAGCATTATCTAAAAAAGTGTATAAGTCATAAATTTCACCTTTCAAATAGGAGTAACTAATTTTTTACTCACGCTTGCGTTACGAGTTAGATAGGACATCTAAAAATTATTTTAAAAATTAATTTCAGTTTGATGGTACTCACTATATTGTGGGTTTACTAAAATATATCAAATTAAATGTAAAAAAAGTATTATTTTTTTCATTCCGTGTTTAACTAATTATTCATTTTTTTAAATAAATTTTCTACTAAAAAACATGATTTACTCTTCTATATCCAGATTATTAACTAAAAAATTGACGAGAAAATTCAAAAATCCATGGATTCTTAACTGAAAAATTTTCTTATAATTTTTTTTTCAAAAACATATGAGATAAATTATCTAAAAAAAACACTTATATATATATATATATATATATATATATATATATATATATATATTTATTTATTTATTTATTTATTTAAAAATTCAAAGAATTCATTAAATGTAAAAAAAAAACCGTAAATAATTATATTCTAAAAAATCATTAATATATATTTAACCATGTTGCTATCATCTAAAAACTAAAAGAATTCGTCATATAAATTATATTAATTTTTTAAAAAAACAAATAACAATATTCTAAAAACTCATTAAAAAAATTCTTCCATTGATCTCTCTCTCCTCCCTCCTCTCTTTTCGTTTTCCTCTCTTCTTAATAGTTAAGGATACGATTGGAATACAAATAAAGTTGTAGATTGAAATAAAAATTATTGAAAAAATGAGAGACTCAAGAACAACATAAGCAAAACTTTACATATAAAATACCTAAAAAATTTTAAAATTACTAAACAACCATTCAATATACAGTAAAAAGTTAAAAAGGTGGAATAGTATTGTAGACAGAATAAACGTCTGAAAAATATTTAAAATGATGAAAATCCTATTAACTTAAAATTACAAAAATACAATCAAGCAAAGGGTGATATATGAATATGTGAATAGTAATAGTAAATACCTTGGTTCCTTTAGGGTTTTTTTTTTTTAATGCTAGAGATATTAAATTTAAGTGATCTGATATCTATTGTAAAGAATAAATCTCAAATCATAAAAGTAGATTTTATGATATTCAATGAGATAATTATAATTAAAGAATAATGATAAATAAAATACGAATAGCAAAGATTACCTATTCTCGAAGGGAAAAAATAATAAAAATACCTACCAATAACACGGCTAAAAGGCATTATCGTGAGTCTGGGAGGAATTTTGAATATTTAAACAAACATTCACTTTGTTCTCGTTCTCAACCCTCTCATTCTTCAAACAACCATCATTGAGAGAGAGAAAACAAAGAAAGCCAGGTTGAGAGAGAGAGAGACCGAGAGACAGAGACAGATAGAGAGAGAAATGGAGGAAACTAAATCCAAGTTTAAGAGGATTTGCGTGTTTTGTGGGAGTAGTTCAGGCAAGAAGGCCAGCTACCAGGAAGCTGCTGTTGAGTTGGCCAAGGAACTGGTAATTACACACACACACACACTCCATATTAGTACACGGATACAATGGATTTTCCGTGATTCTTTTCACATATTCATCTCTAACATTCAAGATTTCTTTTCGAGTAGCTTTTCTTTAGACCATTCCCGACTTGGACCAATGGCTTTTTTTTTAGCCTCTCTCTCTTTCTGGGTTTTAGAAATTCAACTTTGCTCATTGAAGGAGATTCTAAAATTCTCTTCAATGTTTTGGGGGGTACATTACAATTCAATGTTTAATCCTTCATTCAACACGCGATTTGGTTAAAAGCTTTTTTTAAAAAAAAATTTTTTACGGTCTTGGTTTTGCCTTTTAGTGCAACAAGATACCCTTTCTTTAGATTCTTAAAATTTTCATTTTGTTTTTTTCTTTAATTTTGTGTATTTATCTATTCCACTTGCCTGAAATGATTTTTCTTTGTGTTTCTGCATGTATCTTTGTTTTTTTTTTTTTTCCTTCTGTGAGTGGGTGTGGGTGTGGGAGTGGTGGTGGTGTGTCTGCAATTTGCCACCAAACAAGCTTTCAACGTGGGCTTATGATTGTTAGATAAATTAGCTGGGGGAGAGAAGGTTTAGGGTTTATGTTTGGCATGAGAGACTGCTAGCTGTAACCTGCCTGTCAGTTGAGCAGCATTCCTGCATGATCCTTTGTTTTTTGTTTTTGTATTAAAACCTGTAAATTTTATGTTTTTTTAATTTCAAGAAAATAAAATTATTAAAATCAAAATAAAAACAAGATGGATATTCTTTGGTTAATCCATTGGGGAACCAAACGTGCTGCCTTGGTATCATGACTCTTTTAAGCGTGTTTCCTTTGGGCACTACTTCACAAGCTTAAACTCCATGATTTTTGTTTATGGGTTTCCCTGCCAATATATTTATTTCACTCACTAGTCCTAAAAGAGTTTTTATTTGTTCCACTAGAAGCTTATGATTATTATTGTCATCTAATGAATATCTTGTGTTGTTGATGATTGGAATTTGTGACACGTGTTAATTGGGTTTGGTTTCCTATGAGTCTTGAAGGTTGAGGGAAGAATTGATTTGGTCTATGGAGGTGGGAGCGTGGGGTTAATGGGCCTTGTTTCTCAGGCGGTTCATGATGGAGGGCGCCATGTTCTAGGGTTAGTCTCTCTCTCTTTCTCTTGGCTTGATCTTTGTATCTTCGAATGTCAAGCAAAAGATGTCTGCTTCACAAGACAAGCATCATTTTTTCTCATTATAATAGTAACCTTCCCCGTTGGTACATTGAAATGGGGTTACATACAGACATTCTTTTGCAAATTTGTTTATTATTAGTTTTTCCTCTTGAACCATGCAAATTTCCCAATTTCCTATGAATTGGAATTCCCATTTCTGAAACCTGCTCAAAACCAGACATCATGGGATCAAATGCTAGTCCAGACAGAAATAAGGAATTTAATTTTTTTTTTCTTTGGAGACATGTCTGTCTCTTTGTTTATTATGAACATGTCTAGAGTTGTATCCAATAAAAGTATGTGTTAACTAATGTTTGGGAAGCCTTTTGAGCAGCCTTGATCATGAGATGGATAAAGTGAATCCGTTTTGGTCCTTGCAAATGCCAGTGTAATGGTCTTCCTTTTAGAAAGAAAGAGACTGAAAAGGTTGGTAGAAAGTATGCAAACTTTAAGGCAGTGAGTGATTGGAGAACCTTTCTTTTTCATGAATAGGAAGCAGTTGCAATTTTGATTCATGGAAAAAGACCTTGCTGCCCCTGTTGAAAGTACTGTTACATAGGAGTATGTTTTACGGAGTGAAGGCCTATTTAAGATTGTCACATGACCTTAACTGGGCAACAACCAAATTACTTCCTTGAGTTTATTCAAACTCATTGACCTTTCATGAATGTTTTACATGCATTACACGCTTTGGTTCCTATGAACCTGAAGTTTGAGCCTGTGTTGTTTGGATATTGATCCTGACTTGCACTTATTGGATTGTTATTGTCTTGCAGAGTCATCCCAAGGTCCCTAATGACCAGAGAGGTATGAAAACACTAAACACCCTAGTATAAAACAAAACCTTTTTTTTTGTTTTACAGTATCATGTGCTTTGTTTTCTTCGTTAATGGCAATAAAATTAAACTGGAGCTTTTCTGATAAGACAATATTATGTCGTTGGACACAGTTAGTATGTTCCATTCAGCCACTGTCTTTGTATTTAGTGACACATCTGTCCATTTAGCCAAGCTCTTAAAATTGTTATTAGCACACTTAAATATTACGAAGCAGATGTGTGTGTTTGTTGGCTTTTAGAAAAGTCTAATGCTGGGAAACTAAATGAGGCATTTAACAAATGACAAGTCTTAAAAATTTTGTAATATATAAAATCTGGTTGCAGGTAACGGGAGAGCCTGTCGGAGAAGTTAGAGCTGTATCTGATATGCATCAAAGGAAAGCTGAAATGGCTCGCCAAGCTGATGCCTTCATTGCCCTCCCTGGTGAGGATTTGATACGTATATTACTTTACTTCTATGGGTCTTAAATTGATCAACGAAACAGAAGTCACACACACATATGATTGGTCTATTTCCAGAAAAAAGGTAGTTGACTATGATGCAAAGTATATGCAATTTGTTAAAAGCATCACACAAACACAAATCAAAGTATCAAAACAGAATTCTTAATTGGACTTGTAATTGTATATATGGTCATACATTGCAATAATTTCATCATGTCCTTAGATGTGACTTTTGTCAATGCCAGGGGGCTATGGGACACTAGAAGAATTGCTTGAAGTAATTACATGGGCTCAACTTAATATCCATCACAAACCTGTAAGAATTTTTCTCCTACTCCATTTTATTGGGTATGATTTTTTGCAGGGACGGATCCAAAGATTTGCTTTAGAGGGGGCAACTAATTAATGCCCTCTTTCATTGCATAACGAAAAGTCAAACCATGCATGAAATCATTCTGAAGAAAATATTAGCTAAAATGATCAACACTCTCTTATCCGAAAACAAGAATGATTTACATGGGCAAGTTCCAATTTTTGCTTTTCCTACGGCATAAAAGTTAAAATGATTCCTTTGATTGGCAATTGTCTCTTACAAGAAAAGCCTAACTGAAAGTATATGCACTAATTACATTTTTTATTGTTTTTATTAACATTTTTCTTTGCTTGATTAAGAAAATACCAAAGACAAAAAGTATGATAATTTATGATTAGCGCCTATGTTTCAGGTTTATTTGCTTTTTAAAGGTCATTTTTCAGATTAGAATGACCTAAAGAAAGTAGCCAACATCACGGCACAAGGATAAAAAACAATTTTTAGGTTGAACTGCGTTGTTTACAATGAAATCAGAACACAAGGAAGGATAAAAAATTCTTAGAATTGTTTACAACGAACTCAAAAAACACAAGGAAGGAGTTCAAGGTGCTGCCCTTTTATGTTACTAGGAAATTGTCAGAATAAAATGATGGGAATTTAAGATAGTAGTATGTACTCAGCAACTGAATTTTGTTTGACGTCCAAATTTTAAATGGTATTCTGTAGGTGATTCTCCAACACTTAGCATCAGCCATTATTGTTGTGTTCACATGTTATTAACTCTTTGTATATCTTAAAATATTTTGGTTTGTGCTTGTAAGCTTAGAATGTGTCTGATATGTCTGTCATGTTTCTCGAGTTCACGGCTGTTTTGATTGTTGCATACGCTTCTAAAGCTAAGTTGATGCCATCTTGGTCAATAAATCTTATTGATTGTGATAGAGAAGTAATCTAGCATTGAATCAAATCATGTGGACCTTCAATGGATTCACATGGAAAGATTAGCTTAAGATATGCCAATTCTTCTAATCATGTTCAAGCTACTGATTTTGTATGAATATATTGATTGGTAGGATGTCCGTCTGAATGGGAGAAAGTTCATAGTAATACAGACTTAAAAAATGTGGAAGTACTGATGCTCAAAATAAAAGTTCTTTAATTGTAGGGGTTAGGTTTTAATAAATCAATTAAGATGTTTTGACTTTGATATCATATATAGTTTATTCAAGAATTAAGCAGGTGGTGGGTCTTTCATATTATTTTTGCAGGTTGGCCTCTTGAATGTAGATGGATACTACAATTCCTTGTTGTCTTTCATTGACAAGGCGGTTGATGAAGGCTTTATATCGCCTGCCGCACGTCGCATAATCGTGTCTGCGCCCACAGCCAAGCAATTGTTCAGACAACTAGAGGCAAGTGCTTTTTCCATACATAAAACATGGTTTAGCTTAACAATTCAAAAAGGTGCATGACTTCCTGAAACAATCCAAATTATTCTTGTTTGAGTGAGATTATGTATCTTAGGAGTCAAGTTCCACTCAAATCACATTCTTTAAGATAAATAGTAAAATAAAATAAAACGAGTAGGGTCCCACTTACAAATGAGAATGGCTGCTGTATACTGTAATTTTCTATTACTCCGTGGATTTACGTAACCTTTTCTATACATTATCTCATTGTTTTTGGGTACTTTTTTCTTCCTTTTTTTTTTTTTTTTTTTTTTATGTTAATCCAGGATTATGTGCCAGAACATGATGAAATAACAGCCAAGTTGGTGTGGGGGGAGGTTGATAGATTGACTTGTGTGCCCGAATCAGGGGTTGCCTAGTACTCTTTTTGCTTGGGTACATACAAAAAAGGTCGTTTTCAGGTTTTGCCTGCTTGCTCGGTATGACACAGGTATATACGGTCTTGTACCGTATACAAGCTTTGAGAAGAAGATCTTTTTGGGTTTCTTTTTGGCATTGGATCACCTCTAATCTCTCAAAGTCTCAAATATATAAATGTAAAGGAGCATCTCCTATTCCCTTTTGTGAAAACTTGGAAGGAAGGAATGAAATGAATTCTGGCTTTTTATAATTTTGTGTCCATCCTAAGACAAGAAGGATGATACTAAATATTTGATGTAGTCAAAACTGACCAGATCGATTAATTAAAAAACAGTGAATTTATTTACACAACAGAATCCCTTAACGCTGAACGAATGGAATTTATTTTTCTAGCAACTTTTACCCATGTTTTGAGTGAATAAGAGTCGATGCTGCTATCAGAATTCAGAACGTTTTAATTACCATTTTTAGGCATGAGGTCAGGGTCTTACCTGCCCTGATAACATTTTTGCCACCCAAGTCACCAAATTATTTGAACCTTTTGTTCCTGCCAAGCAACGGTTTCAACTCTTATTATTCAAATCTTGAGAGCAAATCACGATAATGGAGAGGACTAAACATAACAAGATTATCTAACGAAGGAAGGAAGACTATCTACTGAAGGAAGGGTAGACCAAAATCACTATACGGTGTGAAATAATCCTTTTTTTATTATTATTTTTATCTAATTCTATATCTGTACCAAACACCGATACAAGTGTTTTTATCATATTCAACTCTATGTATAAAACATTATCTCAGTATTCATGTTTTTTTAAATTTATCTTCCATCGTACGTCTCCTAAGGAAATAAAAAAGAAAAATTATCTTCCATCATTTTCCATTATAAGCATCGTTTTGAGTAATGGTAAATATTCTGAGTATCATTAATTTGTATTTAGAACCACCCGCAATATTGTATAAATTAACCATTGATGGTATAAATACTTAATGAAATCCACAAATATTTACTTGAAAAGTTAGTTGCAATGGTAAGAAGCCGAAGACCTATTATATATAGTAGCTGCTAGCACCTTACTTATAAGTTCAGATTGGTCGTCATGCATGTCATATTAAATATGGAATCATCAAAATTTGAAGAGTCAAAACACCTCCTCCTTGGCTTCTTCTCAACCCGGCCGGATTCAATATCTTTGCTAAGGTATTTGGTTTGATTTTATAATCAGTTAGTGGAAGATCTGATAGAACATTACTACGACATAAAGGGAGACCAATGTGAAGTAGTTTCTTTTCTAACGTAGTGCATCTCACATGTCTTCATGTTTGGCATTAATTTACTACACTCCAAAAGTTTCTCCCAACAAGTTATTTATAATCCTTTAGAATGATTCGGATTATCCAACAATTCAAAATTTTTAAGGGACACAACAATAATTATCAAAGTATATTTTAGAATATTTGAACTTTCAAACCAAATAATGTTTCGCATAATTGAGAGGGAACGACTTCTTGTTGACACAGTTTTTTCATCTTTTTTTAATAGCCATTTAAAATTACAACATCCTTCATTACAAGAAATCCATTTTAAGATTCTAAGTCTTATGTGCCATCCTAATCTTACTAATTAAAGACAAAAAACATGTCGAGCTAGTTTTATTATGAATAAAGTATCTGACCATGATTTTGAATTAATTATTTGTAGTTAGTGTTTCATGCCTTACACATCTACATAATTAATCAAGTAATTAATGGAAAATACATTACGCTACTGGGTAGAATTTCCATCCTTTAACAACAGTATCATTCAATAAGATTCAATGGAAGTGAAAAACGACAATCATAGCAATTGAGACGGAACAACAGTTTTTTTTTTTTTTTTCCTTCAACATATTCTCCAACCATTTTTTTTATACAGAGACTAAGCTTTTTCCTAATTATATTTCACAAAAGCCAACCTACCTTTAAAAGAATAAAAAAAGGAACAAAAAAGACAAATTTGTTGGCAAGCTTCAGCGACTATCTGAACTTGATTTTAAATTATGCTCCCTGTTTTTTTATCTTTAATTTCAGGTAAGTATGAAAATAACTAATAAGAAGTAGTTCCCTCCGTTTTTGTGGGAGATTGGAAACTTAAGAAGGAACTATATTATAAGGACGCCGTGATTCAAGCTTGTGTCTACATGTGAGGCACATGATCTTCTTTTGTTAATGTGTAATCGCATTTGATTGCTTGCGTCTAATGTAATCTTAGTTAAGATAATTAGCAGTCAACCACTATATGGTCACCTAATCGAAGGCACTTGATATTGTTAATTACACAAGACAGACACCCAAGAATAGACAATCCAACAAGCAACAATTGATTGATCACAGCCCTGCTATCAACAATTATTGGTGATATTACAACGATAAATATGGAGAAAACACCCAGCTTTAAGAAAATGCCATTGTCTTGACGTGTCTTTCCATGCAAATTCCTTGGAGCAAGGATCTGGAACCATATTTTATTCCAGAGATCTGCTAAGGCTAGTTGGCTAAGCCCATCCAATTCTCAGTCCAGTGAAAATGAAAACCGATAGACTTTTTGGGGTTCTCAGTTCGGCATAAAGCCCAACCTAACCTCAATCCACTGAAAAGTGAAAACCACTGGACTTGGATCAGAAGTCGAAGAAAATTTAATCTTCCGCAGGAACAGTCCCCTGCAAACATCTGAGCAACGCCTCGATTCGAAAATTATCATATTATTATCAACGTATATGACCCACTTGCTTTTGGAATAGTAGTAAAAGACAGAAGATCAGAACATATCTGGCAAATGCCTCATCCTTACTAGTTATGCTTCTTGTTTGTGCCATAACCAAAAGGTGATCGGACCCTGCCCGTTTCCATTTTCCTTCTGGTAAAGTACAACTCCAACGACACTGATTTTTTCACTTCTCTTTTGTGATTAATTCTGTTGTAATTTTGTAGATTTGACATAGAAGCTGATTATAATGCCCATACACAACAGAATAGGGGAATGACATGAAGCCATTGTTTTTGCAACACCATTCCATTACAAGAAACAAAAGAGAGAAATATTCCCGACCAATGCACTTATTCCAGAAACTGCTATTCAAAACTCACATGTCTAAAACGACATTACATGATAAAAAAAAAATAGTTTACACCTCCCTAATTCACAGTGATGATACTCGCGATGGAAAGCTAACCCCTCTATATTGCGGCAAAGTACTCCTTGCTCAGTTTTGGGTCAGGCTTCATGGACTTCTCACCAGGCTTCCACCCAGCTGGGCAAACTTCATCTGGATTTTCTTGCACATACTGCAAGGCCTGCAGGAAAATACAAAAGTGATAAAACCATGAAACAGGAATCAATAAGAATGGATGGAAAACATATGCTCAAAGCCTCTTCAGGTCTATAACAAAATAAAGTCTAATTTACAAAATCTTCCACTTTTAGAATATCTTTGTCCTGTATTTGTGAAATCACCTGGAGTGTTCTCTTTGTCTCGTCAACACTACGCCCAATGGCAAGGTTGTTAATGGTGGAATGTTGGATGACTCCTTCCTTATCAATGAGGAAAAGTCCTCTCAGAGCAACTCCCTGAAATTAAAACCAAATATCAAAAAATAATAAATAAATAAAAAGAGAGGTAGAGGTAGAGGTAGAGGTAGAGGGTCCTCCTCCAAGCACTGTGATGAGGTTGAGGGGCAATGCTGATTAGTATTAGAGAACCATTTTCCCAACATTATCAGACAATGGGAATGGCATTAACTACATGATCCATAGAACCATCAAGAGAATGAAGACAGTCTGATTCTCAATCAATAGGTAACTAAATGTGCCCTAGACCTAAGTCATTATGATTTAGCTTGATACTGAATCGCGCCAGTAACAAACAAAAGGCTGATGCATGGAGTGCATGCGTAAATGCATGCAGTGATGCACTCAAAAAGCGATATTAAAGAATCGAAGAATGTTTTTAATGAGTTCATTGTTTTCCTTTAGAATGACATTCAAATGATAAAAGAAAAATCATCTCATACCTGATCAGGGATTAACACTCCATAAGATTTTGAAATGGATTTGGTGACATCGGAAACCAAAGGATACTTCAAATCTCCAAGCCCACCAGACTTTCTATCTGTTTGGACCCAGGCAAGGTGCGAGAACTACACAAAGAGTATCATGACACAACCAATATCAATAAACAATTTCTCATTTTTAGTCTAATACCCAAATCAGCTGTGATATAACAAATGGATAGTGGATACTTCCAGTTATGAATGCAAAAGTTTCTGTACTACTAGAACAGATATGAAATAATAGCCACTGAGCAATAATGACCCAAGTTGCAATCAACAAGGTTGCAATTGCATAATATGATAACTTCTATAACCGAAGTCGATGGATTTATGATAAAACCAAAATTGAGACTCTTCTTTAACCAATTCCACTTTTGCCCATTACAATATTCACTTCAGCTGATTAACTCAGGAAGCTGTGTTGAAATCATACATTTTCAAAATACATGCAGCAGCCACGCAATTTTATCAGGTGTGCTAGCAAGCAAGGTCCTCATTATTCCTAAGGAAACCGATAAGTACACAAAAAATCAACTCAGCCGAACTTTAATCCAAGCTATTTCAGGTTGGCTACACAAATCCTTTCCCAGCACTTCACAGAAACAAAGGTTTTCCGTTAGATCGTTTACAGACATAATATCCAAAATGGGTGTGTTGTGTGTCGGTTTGTATTTGCCAGATCATCAAATAAAGTCGAAAACTTGAATTGAAGACATGAAATCCACCAAAGTTTCAGACTGGAGTCATATAAAATTCCTAGAATTTTCTTTCTTGATTTTGAAAAAAAAGAAAAGAACATACCACACTGTCGATTGAAACACCCAATACTTCTGTGTTTAGCTGCTTAAATTCCTCATAGCGGTCACTAAAAGCAGTGATTTCTGCACACAAGTGGAACAAAAAAATGAGAACAACAATCGGCATCCAAAACTCATTGAAACTTCAAATTACATTTGCTAAGTTCCAAACAAACCTGTGGGGCAAACAAATGTGAAGTCCAATGGATAGAAAAATAGAACCACATATTTCTTCCCAATATATTCAGATAGTTTAACCTGAAAGCAAAATCAACCAATCAAACCAGAGTTCAAAATAAAATAAAATAAAATAAAACAACACACATGACTGCAACTGCAAGGTGGTAACAAACTCAATTTATCTTCATTAAAGGAACACAATTTTCACAAAGAAACCTGAATTGGACCCATTATCACCATCAATCAAGTTAACAATCGACTGGCTTTCAAATTACAATTTTATAACAATCAAAGTAGCAATTAACTATTTCTTCAAGACCAAATTTGAGCAAAAATAGAAAACATTGTAAACAAACAAGGCTTCGATGTACATCAAGATTTAATGAAAAGTTAGTTAGAAAAAGGAATGACAGTAACTCCTTATATTGGACAACATTGTCAACCCAAAGTACCTTAATAAACTCTTGATCGAAAACAGCCTCTGCCTCGAAATCCGGTGCTACGTTTCCAACCAATGGAAGTTCGCTCTACACAGAAGAAAACGAACCGCGAACTTAGTTAAGGACTAATTATCGAACACGAGAGAAGCATTTCAAAATTATTATTACTATTGTTATTATGTAAATGGAAATTGAGGACATAAAAATAAACGAATCTGAATTCTTTTTCTTTCTTTCTTTTTATTAACTTACAGAGGCTTTGACAAGGAAGGTCTTTCTAGAATGAGAGCCACGAGTCAACGAAATGGAACGAGGGGCGCGAGATTGGAATGATTTTTGGGTACCAAAGAAGGAGTTGGGGAGAGTTAGGGTTTTAGAGAGAGGAGAGGCCATGGATTTGGTGGTGGCGGTGGCGGTGGCGGCAGCGATAGAGGAGATGAGAGTGGTTGAAGTAGCTGAGCAGGCCATTGGTTTGGGAGGAGAGAGAGGCAGAGTATAGTGCTCGTTCCCTTGCAGACTAGCAGTTGTAGTTGGCGACTGGGTGTGGGTAGCAAGTATAAGGTGGAGAAATAAATGGTGAGCGATAGGATAAGTAGCAGTAGCAGTAGTAATAGTCGAGGGATGAGACAGTAAATCAAATGGAACGGATGTTGTTTTGCGTTGTGCTGTCTTAGGTTGGTCGTTGATTTTTTTTATTATTATTATTAATTTTTTGTGTACGGGTTTGGTTGATGGATGGGTGGGTTACCCGTTCCATTTATACTACATCTCGGGCCATCCGGAGATCTAGGTGGATGCAAATGCAGTGCACTGCCAGGCCGTCTATGGTTGGTGATCGTCGTTTCATCTTTCATACCAGCTTTCACCTTTTTTTACTTTTCTGTTTTTAGACCAGTTTTCAACACATATGAAGCAAATAGTTCACGTGCTTTATTAGGAACCTATTTTACATTAAAAATAATAAATATTAACTAAATAAATTAAAACAAAATGTCGATTTAGTGTTCAAAACACTATTCACATATTCACAATTCACTATTCGTTGATTTTTACACTTTGATCCTTGATCTTTGCCAACTAATCTTTCAGTCCATATCTTCATTTGCACATCCTTTTTGATCCTTAGATGAGAGAGAAAGGAGGAGGGAAGAGAGAGACGAGAGAAGAGAGAAAATCGTCGATCGAGCTTATTTAGGCCGCTTTGGCCGATGAAAATCCACTAGATTTGTTTATCTTTAAGAGATGAGTTTATCCATAATTGTTTTAAGCCATTAAACTATTAGAGGAGGTAGATCGGAGTCAAAAAAGAAAACAAAATTCCGATTTAATTGTGTAATTTGTTTTTATTTTTCTATGCATTAAAATGATTTTTCGGGTTTTAGTTATGTTTATTGGTTTTATTTCGATCATTTAGAGGTGTTTGAAGAAAAAATGATGCCGGAATTCAATTTAGAGGGGTCCGAAATTTGAACCCCGACTTTCCGACGAAGATTCCGACGACCTCAATCGTCGAAAGCTTATTTAGGCCGCTTTGGCCGATGAAAATCCACTAGATTTGTTTATCTTTAAGAGATGAGTTTGTCCATAATTGTTTTAAGCCATTAAACTATTAGAGGAGGTAGATCGGAGCCAAAAAAGAAAACAAAATTCCGATTTGATTGTGTAATTTGTTTTTATTTTTCTATATATTAAAATGATTTTTCGGGTTTTAATTATGTTTATTGGTTTTATTCCGATCATTTAGAGGTGTTTGAGAAAAAAATGATGCCGAATTCAATTTACGAGGTCCGAAACTTGAACCCCGACTTTCCGACGACCTCGATCGTCGAAAGTTGCGACCTCGGTTTTTTTTTTTTAGCAAGAAATTTCGGCCCGACTCGTTTTTTTTTCTTTTTTCTTTTTTTTTCCCTTTCGTTTCAGCTTAGGAAATTGTTATTTATTTTGGTCCCTTCATTCTTTTTTTTTTAATTTTAGTCATTCATCTTTTCCGATCTTTGATTTTTATCCCTATCAAAAATATTAAAATTTTATTATATGTGATTTTAATCCTTATAATCAATTTTTAAAAAAATTTTAGTAAAAATTTATGTTTTTTTTCTGTTTTTTAATATGTTTTTATTTTAGTTATGAAAAATTTCTCATATTTAATTTTTATCCTTACTATGCTAAAACTAAATAAAATTTACTATCCTAAGGTTTTTTTTTTTTACTGAAATTTTCTTTCTATTCTAATTTCTATTTTTTTATTTTTTCTTTCTTTTCGTCATTAAATTTAGTAAAAAAAAAAAATTAGTCTTTGTTTTGTAATTTTTTTTTTATAATTCAAAATTTTTCCTACAATGAACTATTTTTTACTTTTAATAAAACTTTTTGTTATATTTTAGTTTTTGTTTTATGATCTTTCATTTATTTTGATCAATAAACTTTTATTATATTTAATTATTAATCATTTTATTTTTATTATATTTAATTATTAATCATTTTATTTTTATTATATTTAATTATTAATCATTTTATATTAAAATTAAATACATTTTAACTATCCTAATTTTTTTGTTTTGATTCTTATGTTATTAATTTTTCATTTTAGTCAGTAAAATTCTATAATATTTACTTTTGTTCCTGCCTTATGGATAATGAAATTTTTTTAGTCTTGTTATTTATAAGTATTTTTTGTATGGTTTTAGTGAAAGTTTTTCTTATTTGTTTTTATCATTTTATAATCTTTACTTTGTTTTAATCATTTAATTTTTATCATGTGTAATTTTATCTCTATTTTCTTTGCCAAGTTCTCGATTTGACATAGCTTTTTTATCTTTTTGTTTTGAGTGATCCCTCTATCTCATTAATAAATTACGGATGAATAATATATGGTAAAAATTAATCATCAAAAATTCAAAAAACTATTACATTATTATTTTAATTATCATCTATTAATAAAATACATGTTTATATAAAAAAATATCTAATTAGTAATATTATATTACTCAACTTTACTGATTTTTCATTAGCTAACCCTATATCAAATTATGAAATATATGTTTTAGTTTTTTTTTAAATTATTTTCGCATGATATTGTCAAATAATGATTTGTAAATGTTAAATTTTATATTAATGAATGCATAAGAATGATATATAATTCATCCCGTGACAACATGCGAGATATATGCTAGTTTTATACTAATTACGAACGAGTTAAGTATTAAAAAATCTTCTAAAATGAAAAACATATTGCCTAGTGTTATGACAAATAATAGAAACAAGACATGTAATGACAGAAAATAATCAAAAGATAAAATTAAATAAACTATTAACACATAAGATATATGTGGTTTGACAAATTGTCTACTCCATAAACGAGAGAGAAGTTTTATTAGCTTGGTGGTAGGAAGGCTGTATTAGCTTGATATTCAGCTCAATATAAAGTTAAATAAATTATCAACACATAGGATTTACATGGTTTAACAAATTGCGTACTCCACGGACGAGAGGGAAGTTGTATTAACTTGATAGTAGGAAAATACAAAAACCTTGGAGGCTCAATACAAAGTCTATTTCTTTCACTTCATTTCCTAAACATAAACATAAAAAAGGTTTAAATACCTCATACTTATAAAGAAAAAACATGATGGACTAAATATATTATTGGCCTACAAAATTTAAGCCACGCACGACAAATCTTCACCTTGGCTTGAATTTTATAGACCTTGAAGAATGTCAAATAATTTCATAAAACACATTTCTAAGCTTACGTAAGTTAACTCAACGTAAAAAAACAAGAGATGTGAAGAGATAAAATATTGACTTCAACACTAGGACTAACGAATTCCTTCTCTCCAATAATACCCCGACATGTACAAACAAATGCTTGAGGCACACGAGCAAAGGCAAACTCCCACGGTCGTGTCTCTCTTCTTAACACAACCAAGCCTCTCTTTTCAACGAGTACACTTTGATTTTCTTAACACCATTCGAGTCCAACTTGTTTGTCGTAACAAGTTTAGTTAACACATCAGATGAATTGTCTTTAGTGTGAACTTTCTTCATAGCGATCTTCTTGTCGAAACTACTTCGCAAATGAAATGATACTTGATATCCATATGCTCGGTCCTCTCACAATGTGCTTCATTTTTAGTTAAGTGTATAACACTCTAGTTGTCGCAAAAGACAATTGAATTTTCTTCTTGTTGAAAACCAAATTCTTTTACAATATTTCTTAACCAAATAGCCTCCTTCACGACCTTTCTTGTCGTTATATATTCTACTTCGGTAGTCGACAAAGCAACAATCGATTGTAATGTTGTCTCCAACTAATAGCAGAACTCGAAAGTGTAAATATATACCCCGTCAAATATCTCTTTTTATCGAGATCACTTGAATAGTCAAAATCCACAAAGCCTACAATAGAAGTTTCGAAGCACTACCCCTTTGAAAGACTAAACCCGAGTCTATGGTACCTATGAGATACATGAGAATCCACTTTATTACTTGCTAATGTACCTTTCATGGATGAGCCACATATCCGCTCATAACATTGATCTGTCCGGGCAATGTCTAGATGGATGCGGATCATAGCATACATTATGTTACCTATATAAATAAAGCACATCTCCACACATATACACACAACATATTATCATGTAAAATTTTTTGGTATTATAGAAGAAATCGACGAAAGTACTTGATTGATAGTTTTGAAAAAGTTGATATACTAAAATATAAAAAAAAATTAAAAAGTTCATGTACTTGATTGAGAAAAAAAGAAAAAAATTATAATTTGATAATTTGAGGATAACGAACGCGTCATTAGTTAGCGAGAAAAATCGATGAAAGTAATTGATTACCGAGCTTTGAAAAAAACTTATGCATTCAAATAAAAAAAACTTAAAATTCATGTACTCAATTGAAATAAAAATAAAAATTAATCTATTTATGGTGCAATTTTTCTTGTTTTAAACCTTGTGATGGAAAAAGAAAATTCATGCATGTTAGGATGAATTGAAAGATATTCGAGAATGTATATTAGGACACGGATATGACAATGTCTTTGTTAAAATAACCACCAATTCAATCAAATTTCTTCGAGTTATATTGAGGATTTTCCATTAAACCTAAATATCTAAAAAAATATTAAATTCATTCAACTTGAATATCTTACTTTTTTCCCCCTACCAATTCAACACATGGTAGCTAGCAACTCAATTTTTTTCTTTTTTTCTTTTTACGTGAAGTTATGCATAGAAATCTAATACTTTGTTCACAAATACTAGCCGTTTCCCATGCTACTCTATGGGTTGGGTGGGACAAAATCATTTTAAAATCTCACCATTTTTTTTATTGAATTTTTTTTTTGTGTTTTTCATAATTTTTTTATATAGAAAAAACATGATTTATTATTCTCTATGCATTGCTTCTTAAATAAAAACTTGTAATGATTTAAACTGAAATATTAATAAAAAATTAAAGTTCATTACTCAACCGAAATAGCAATAAAAATTAATGTACTTATAGTGCAATTTTCCTTATTTAAAACCTTGTGACGAAGAAAGAAAATTCATACATGTTAGGATGAATTTAAAGATATCCGAGAATGTATACTAGGACACAATATGACAATGTCTTCATCAAAATACCTCTCCCTTTCGCTCTCTCGGCTTTGTCTCTCCCTGTCTCCCTCATGTCTCTCACCCTCTCACTCTCCCTCCTCTCTCCCACTTTGTCACACTCTTCCTCTATATATCCCTCTTTCTCTCTCTCTTTCTCTCCCTCCCTCTCCATCTCGTTCTCTCCCCCTCTTCCTTTCTTTCTTTTTCTCTCTCCCTCTCTTTCCCCCACTCTCCCTCTCCCCCTCTCCTCCCTCTCTCTCCCCTTTTTTCCATTAATTCAATAAAATTTCTTTGAGTTCTATTGAGGATCTTCCATTAAACCTAAATAACTACAAAAATATTAAATTCATTTAACTTGAATTTCTTACTCTATTTTTCCCCTAGCAATTCGAACTTATGGTAACTAGCAGACTCAATTTTTTCTTTTTTCTTTTTATGTGAAGTTATGTATAGAAACTCAATACTCTATTCATAAATACTAGCTAGGTTCCTATACTATTCTATGGGTTGGACTGAACAAAATCATTTTAAAATCTTATAATTTTTTTTATTGAATTTTTCTTTTTTATGCTTTTTCATAAATTTTTTACGTAGAAAAAACATGATTTATTCTTCTTTATACATTATTTTTTAAATAAACTTGTAATAATTTAAATTAAAATATTAATAAAAAATAAAAAATAAAAAAACTCTAAAAATATACTATTTACAAGAATGCATTAAAGTTACAAGTAATGTATAGACTTGTATAAAAATTAACTAACAAAAAATAAATTTTTATTCATATTTAATACCAACGAGAATATTATTTTTGAAAAATATATGCATTTGATATATATATATATATATTTATTTATATAATAATCAATAATTTTAGCATAAAAAACTCGTATTTGAATAATTGAGTGACTCTTTTAAAAAAATATTTTAATTATTTTATTTCAAAGAAATTGATTCTATAAAATTTTAAAAAATTATTCATAGCAAATAGTTGGTGTTTTAAGTGAATATGTATATTTATTTTTTAATAAAATCAATAATTTAATAGTTATATATATATATATATATATATATGCGAAGATCATTTAAAAACTCTAAGAATTCACGATATATATCAATTTATTTGAAAAAAAGAAAAAATCAATTTTAAAAATTTTTATTCTAAAATTCAAATATAGAGAAAAATAAATCATATTTATCTGTAAATAAAATTTTATGTAAAAAAATATTAATTGGATGATAATTTTCATAAGAAATGACTAATTCAAAGAATAAAATTTAAATAATAAGAATAATATAATCTAAAATATATATTAATTTTAAAATATAAAAAGATAGTATATATATTTTATCGTTACAATGTTGCATGAAAAACATAAATAAAATATACGATGTTCCATAATTTTTCCTAAATTTTTTTAATTAAAAATAATTAAAAGACAAAAAAAAAAAAGGAAAGAAAAAAACCCAAGGACCAGGCCGTGGTAAAAAAAGAAGAAGAAAGAATAAATTGTTGCTTTTAATTTTTGACCACTTTGATTTTGCTAGAAAAGTAGTCGAAAAGTCGGATTGTATCATTTTTTATTTTCCAAAATAAAATTCAGTCTTATTTTTATTCAAAAACACCTTAAATCTCAGAAATAACATAAAAAAATTCATTTTAATGCATACAAAACACATAAAAATTTAAATCAAATTAAAAAAATTAAAATACTTTAGACTTCCAACCTATCTATTCTTACCATTTCATGGCTTGCCACTATCAAAAGCGGATTCTCTTCAAAAATAACAAATTTATGGTAAGCTCAACCGTTTGGATGGCCACAATGATCCTCATTAGTCATATCTCCCCTTTTTTTCTCTCTCCCATTTCTTTTGTCTCTTAGCATGCGAGAGATCAAAACGGATGAAAAACGAAGTTATAGATAAAAAAAAATCAAAAAAAGAGGAATTAAAGTGCATTTTTTTGGACAAACAACATAAGTGCATAGTGAATAGATGGTGCTTTTAGAGAACGATGAATAAATAGTGAAAATAGAGACAATATACATTAAGTTAATAATAAATTTAAAGTGATTTAACATATATACATATATATACTTTTTAGTAATCTTTTCGTTTAGATTAGTCATGTGACATATCGTATCATATTAATGTCAAATAACTTGATTCTTGATTATTTGTAACGGAAACATCACATTAAAACAGAAACAAATATCATTATGATATTTCGATTCTTCCACGTAGCTCACTTTGAAATGCTGGAGCATCAAGTCGCGAGCACCGTCGGACTAGTAGATTTTTAGCCAAAAAGTGAGCGGTGAAAATGCTGCCTATGCTTTTAAAGGCTTGTACTGCATGAAGTCCTGGATGCAAGCGTCATAACCCAAGGAAAGAAAAGAACATGGGCCAGTTCATGATCCAGAAATCATATAAAATGGCCCAGTCCATGGAGCTAGTCCAGTCTCTCTCCTTCATTGGACCAACCTCTATCTCAGTTTTCTGATTCCAGTCAATCAGATAGCAGTTGTTCCTCATCTCCAAATCATATTATCAAAATTTGTTGAGCCTTATCCACCACAATTTCCTCCATTGTCTTGAGAAAAACACAAGCACCACTGCCCCTCTCGATCAGAGCCAGCCATGTAACCCAACACAATGCAGTACACACTCCTCCATTTTCTCTCCAACAACACCAACAACAAATCCTACACATTTCCTTATCCTAAGCCCCATCACTTCCCCTCATACCACCATGATTATTTTCCCTCACTTTCTTGCCCAAGAACCCTCCATTTTCCCACCCTTTCCTCCAAAACAAACACCCCGCCTAAGCCCCTTAAAACACCAGAAATCCCCTCCATACCCTCTCACCCCACCACTCAACCACCTCAATCCCAACCCCAACCACCACCCAATACTGAATTTCAAGAAAAAATGCTCTATCTTGATTCAATAGGCCTAGACATATTCTCCCTAATTAACCACCACCGTCCGATCGTCCTCTCAGCCTCCTTGTCAAACATCAAATCCATCATTGATTTACTCACCTCCATGAACTTCACTCCACAAGAGTTCTGCCGTATCATCTCCATGTGCCCAGAAATCCTCAACTCCACTCCTTCCACCATCACCCCAGTCATCACCTTCCTACTCCGGGAAGCCCGCGTCAACGGCTCTGATTTAAAACATGTGATAAACCGACGGCCCAGATTACTCGTATCCAGTGTCAAACACTGCTTGCGCCCCACTCTCTATTTCCTCCAAAGCATTGGCCTTGAAGAGGTAAAAAGACACACATATCTACTGTCTTGTAGTGTCGAAACAAAACTTTTACCAAGAATCCAGTACTTCGAAAAAATTGGGTTCCCTTATAAGGATGCTGTTTCCATGTTTAGGAGATTTCCACAGCTGTTTAATTACAGTATTAAGCATAATATTGAGCCCAAGCTGAATTATTTTGTTGTGGAAATGGGAAGGGATTTGAAGGAATTAAAAGAATTTCCGCAGTATTTTTCTTTTAGTTTAGAGAATAGAATTAAGCCCCGACATCAATTCTGTGTTGAGAAAGGTTTGTGTTTTCCTCTACATACATTGTTAAAGACAAGCGAAGCGGAATTTGTAAGTAGGGTTGATGTTTGTTGTAATTCTTCTGTTCCTTTGAGAAGTTCTCCTTTGTATTCTGTAAATTGTGACATTGATTCTTCTACGAATACAGAGTAAACTTTTATTTATTTGGTGGATGATCTTTGGATTGCTGTGTTTATATATGGTTTTACTGCTTGTGTTTAATTACAGTCAGCTGTGACAAAAATTGGTCGATCCCATATATTTTAGTATGTAAGAAGGTGATTGGCTGCTGAATTTGATGAAATATTAGAATTTTCTAGCTGTGAATTTCATCTCTAGACTATATTATCCATGTTATTTAGTTTTTTTGATCTGGAGTTTTTTTTTTAATAAATACGTTTGATATATATATATATCATAGTTGAAGTGTGATGTAATGGAAATAGTGTAGTGTCTCTTCTTTTATTACATCACATTGTGATTTATTGTATTATGCTAGGCTAACCTTAATTTGCTTGTGAATCTAGTATATGCCTACGACGAGTTCAGCCTTTTTTCATTTAGCTGCATGTTGTCAAATTTGAATCTCTACGAAGAAATGTTATCAGTGTTATTTTTTTTATTTGCGATCAGCAATGTATTATGTTGTTTGCCTTAAGACTTGAGATGGAATTCCTATGAAATTTGAATTTTATGCAATTGCTATGTATAAACATATATGCAATGTTTGTGGAGAGAAAGGAGAGGACACTGGTAATAATGGGAGGGCCTAGTTTTCACAATTACAACTTTTCACTAGTTGTGTTGTTGATTTTCATCTCTGGAAAGCAAGTGATTGTTTGTAATTTACCCATGAATGGGTTTAGTGTATGCAGCATCTGGTGTTATCCAAGGGAAACTTGTGTGATAATTCTTGACATATCAATAGTTTTGTTGGACCATAGCTGACGATTTTCCCCTTATTGGAAGTTCATAATTCTTTACTTGTATGGTGTGGAGATGGGAATTCAATTTGCCCAAATGACATGTCCTTTGCAAGCCCAAGGTGGATCGAACTGCATTCAGTTTGCAATCCAGTCGCCATGCATCTTAGAATTCTGAAATCGATCTGTTTTTTCGCAAAACCAAGACATATGCACCTAACCAGATTTGCTATTTGTTTCGTTGGCATGTTCTAAAGATTAGTCGTCTGTAATTCTTCCCAACGATGGGTTCTTTGTGAATACAAGCAGCTTGTTTCAGAACAAACCCTGAAGAAAACACACTCAGGTCTTGAAAACTAGCGGTGATGAATTCTCTCTCTTTCCTCCCCTTGAATTGATTTTCTAGTAACCCTCGTTCAACTGTGCCCACTTAACCAAAAGCAAAAAGAAATATCAGTTCAAGCTATTTGAAAACGAATTGCCTGTGTTTTCATACGGTCAGTTTCTCGTCCAAGAGGAGGTTTCTTTCTTAGCTTGACGAGGCTTGCGATTTGGCATAACTCCAAGCAATTGCCAGTTAAAAGCGTCCTTTCAATAGATGACGGATCAGAACCATGTCTGGTGTCGCTGCATTATTTACGCTTGGCTTCAGATTTATGAAGACCACGTTTTATGTCAAGTCGAACACAAATGAATGTTGTGTTCCAACAGTTACGATCCATTCTTTTAATTTTATCGCATTCACCTCTGCTTTTGTTATGTAATGGCACCCTCCCTTTATAATTTGGATAAACTTGCCTCGTCTCTTTATCAAACATCACATTATTCGCCTACTTTTATATTGTTCGTTTTCTATTTCTAGACAACTTACAAAAACAGTGAAATCTATTCTTTGATTACATGCTTAGCATTGTCTATATGGTTATTAAAGGATTCAGTCGATCAAGTTTTACATTGATAATCTCGATCAGATATTAACACTTCTCTTCCCTCTACCAAAACTTGGAGCATTCAAAATTTTGAACAGTTTTATCGTCCTTTTGTGTTCTTACCATATTCATTTCTCACAAAACAGGTCTTTTAAATTTAAACATCCAACAATTTTCGATGAAAAATACTAAAATAAGAAGTTACATAATAATACAAATAAATAAATAAAATAAAAAATATTCAATAAATGTTTCTGTAATTGGATACAACGCTCTCTCTCTTTTGAATATATCTTTTGATGAGATAACATATAGCATGTTAAAGTTTTCACTCTTTTTTTAGTGATTCAATAATTTTCTTAAAATGATAATCAAATTTAAATATTAAACAGAAAAAAAGGTTGAATTATCGATTAATTCATACTTTGGATTTTTTTTAGCGAACAAAAGAAAAAAGAAAAATGAGATGAGTATTATCATTTAAAGAGTTTTTTACATACACAAAAACTCAAATTTAAAACTATTTGTTTAAATAACTTTTTTCACTCAAGCTAATTTTATTGAATTGATTTTATCTTTATCTTTTCTTTTTTATATATAAATATACTCATGTATTGCCTCCAAAAATATATATATATATATAAAAATGAGGCCAAGCTATTTTTTTCAGAACATGAATCCAAGATTGTTAGAAAGACTTAGCTTAGCAAGACCCATAATGAAATACTCCGTCACTCTTCGGGTCCAATCTGTGAATTCCCCAACATATTGCCAAAAAATGAAAAATATAATTTCAAAACACATCCCTCAACGCTCAAAACACTAAAAAAATCACACAATTCTGGGGTCAAACCATAATAAAAATAAAATAGGCGGTAAAAAATATAAAACAAAGATAATTTTCTTCCCTCCACCAAAATCCGAAACAAAAAAATTCCCTCCTTCCCTCGTTTTCTGCTCTCTCTTAACCCCCACTTTCCCCCACTCTTTCATTCTCTCTCTAAACGCATTTTCTCTCTCTAGCCATCAAATTACATCCTAACTTCTCTTACTAATCAAATAATTTCAATTTTTCTCTCTTAATCCGATTTTTGTTTCTAGGTTTCGTATATTATGTCCGGCGGCGCTAAAGCCTCAACTCGACCGGCTTCGGCGGCGCCGCCATCAGGACCGATCCTGCCTCCTTTAACGCGGCACCTTGCGTTTGCTACGATGAAGCCGCCGTTTGTTCCTCCTGATGATTATCACCGATTTTCTTCTCCGAGTACTAGTAGAGTTGCCGCCGATCGGGATGCTGAGGCTATTGTTGTGAGATCTCTTGTGCGTTTCAATTTCTCTTTGCTTTTATATTTGTATAGAGATATTCATGAATATTTGGATTTTTAATTAAGTTTTGTGTTTTTATGTCGGTGATTAATGTGTTTTTGGGGATTGTTTGTGTGAGTATTTGATGTTAATGGAAGTTAAATTGTGTTCTAAATTCCTTTTTTTTTGGAGTGTGGTTTGTTTGGTTGGTGAGAAATTGTGGGAAAGGAAGGGAAAATTAGGCATCTGAAAAGAAATTGGGGGTTATTTTGGCTGCTGTGAGATTGACAGTTATGCTATAACTGTAGTCATTATCATTGCAGAATGTGAATGGATGTTTATTTGAAAATTGAGCTCTCATTTGACTTATTTTACTTCTAATAATGTTGGATTTGGTGTGGGATTTTGGAATTTGTCCTATTTGGTATAAATATCAATATTTGATGGAAGCCCATTGTCCGTATAAATTCTCGTACTGGTGTTCGAGTGAGCTTCTCATGCTAGGAAAGGAGAATTGTGTCTCATTACCCAACCCATGTTTGGGCGGGACTTCAAGCAGAAAGGAAGATAAGAGAGGTTATTGAATCATTCAAATGGTCTAGGGTTTGGAGGTTTTTTCTTTTTTAAAGGGTAGAGTAGGGGACTGGGTTTAATATAACGTAAATCCTCTTGTAAGAAATTTGCAGCATCCCTAAGAGGAGGAATGGAACTATAATTCTTTTACTTGTTTTTCTCATGTCACTATTATAATCCCCTTCATATTGTTACAGTAAAGCATATGATTTTACTTTATGTTAAATCTCCTCTTACTCCTTTAACCAAATAAGAAGATGTCACTCTCGTTTCCCCTCCCATACATGTGAACAAGGGGAGGGTAACTGTGTCACTTTTACTTACCGTTCCTTTCCTCCCCCTGTCCAATCTAAACATACCATGATGAGATACTGACTTGCTTTCTAGCCCTTTTCTTTGATTTTTTTTATAAGTATGGATTTTGATTCCCGCAATGATCTACTTATACAAACTTCATCTGCATTACTCTTTGTTAATCAGCCATACATGTCCTTTTGTTGAAATCCTTCACTGAAATGCTGCGTAGCCTGTTTTTCTACCTAGATACCATTTCCAGTTACTGCGGTAGTTACTATGTAATTCTAAAGGAAGATTTTATCGGTAGTAGGTAGGTGCCTTCTGGGCTATACAAGGAAGGCTTATTTTTGCATCATAGTTTCATATGATTTTTTGATTGGAGCAGCAGTGGTGATAGAGCTTGAAGGATTGATATAAGCACTTTTGATGAATACTGATGCATGAAATCATTTTTTCTGTGATTTTAGCAGCCAAAAATATATTTATAATGGGTCCTGCAGTTTATTTGGCTGTGGTCTCATTTTTTGCTTTTTGCTAAGTGAAATTGAATTGCCTGCGTTTTATTACAACTGATTTTTGAATGGAATGTATCCTAAAAGTAATAACTTATAATCTTATGTTCTTAAGAGGTATTATGGTTTACTTGAGTTCTGCCATTCATTTAACAAAATGTTGTAATTTTTGGCATCCCACAGCAATTAAAACGGAAGGGTGGACTTGATGATAATGGATTCGGCTCCAGCAATAGTGCTAGCAGTCCTGGAGGCACTAATATATCCAACAGTCCTTTTAGGACACCTGTATCAGCAAAAGGAGGTAGGACATACAACAAATCCAAGGCCTCAAAGGGAAGCGGAGCTGGGCCTCAAACCCCAGTGTCGAAGGCTGGTGAGGAATTGTATTTATTGCCTTTGCAAGCTCTTTTGCATCTCTTTTTCATGCTTTAAGATAAGCTTGTTGGTATATAGATTATGTCTCTTCATACTTTGAGTAGGGTTTGCATAATGTCTTTATTGTCCAAGCATCACCAACATAAGAGGAACCTAATGAATATTTTATGTGAACTTGCAGACTGCGCTTCACCTCTTACTCCAGCTGGCAGTTGTCGTTATGATAGTTCCCTAGGTAACTTTTCAAATATTTACATTCAAGATGATTTCATCATATCTATTTTGATTGTCTTGTATAGCTGTGGAAGCTTTCATTTTTTTTATCCCGACTTTTTCAGGTCTTTTGACAAAAAGGTTTGTCGATCTATTTAAACATGCCATTGATGGAATTCTTGACCTAAACAATGCAGCCGAAACCTTGGAGGTGATCATGTTTTTGATTGTATGTTTGCATTGATGATAATGTATCATACTCATTAAAACCTTTTTACCGGAACAGGTACAGAAGAGGCGGATATACGACATAACAAATGTCTTAGAAGGAATTGGTCTCATAGAAAAGACACTCAAGAACAGAATACGTTGGAAGTAAGTTGACGATGATAAACTTTCTGGAAAGTTCACACTATTTTGTTTCTATGTTTGATTCCTCTAAAGCATTTGAAGTACATGGGAGCTTGAGTGAGGATTAATTTGATTGAATCATTGGCCAGGGGTGTTGATGCTTCAAGGCCAGGGCAGGTAGAAGGTGATGCAACTTTGTTACAGGTAAATGGAGGTGGATATTATTTTTCTGTTCTACAAGCCTCACTAATTTTTATTTTCTGAAAATTATCATGGGTGCGATTTTTTCTATATCTTTTTATCGTGATTTGTGACTTCTCACAGATAATTTGTTCATATTACCCCATAGTCCATTATGATGATGCTGTTCAAAGGATGTCATGGAACTGAAAAGGGGAGGATGAAAACAAATTACTTATTGGCTTTCTTATTTAGAAGTTTTATCTTGTGCTCGTTCTCCTGCAGGCAGAAATTGCAAAGCTCACTGTGGAAGAGCACCAACTAGATGATAAAATAAGGTTACATGGTTTTTTTTCCTTGTTACAGCAGTTACTGTTGCAATCTTGAATCTGTTGGATAATGCTGATGCTTTCACACTCTGCAGAGAAATGCAGGAACGATTGAGAGATCTGAGTGAAGACGAGAACAATCAGAAGTAAAATCCTCTCCACAAATCCTATGTACTTCAAATTACTATGGACAGGTGTTTTATTTGCTAACTATAATATCCTTATTCTTCTCCTCACAATTAAAGGAAGCTTTTTGTGACTGAAGAAGATATCAAGACTCTACCTTGTTTCCTGGTCAGTTTATTCACTTCAAATTTTATACCGGCCGTACTAGGTTTCCAGTTTTGACACTGATCTGCCTTATGGTTTTGTTTACTTGCTATCGTTGCTTGTTCCAGAACGAAACCCTGATAGCAATTAAAGCTCCCCATGGAACTACTCTAGAAGTCCCTGATCCAGACGAGGTAAGATGATGGAAGAAAACTTAAAAAATAATGGAAACTAGAGAGTTCTTTTATTTGTGTTCTATAGTTCATGTGCTTGTTGCCAGAGTGGGATTGCTTCTGTATATAACAGGCTGTTGACTATCCACAAAGGAGATACAGGATAATCCTTAGAAGCTCTATGGGTCCTATTGATGTCTACCTTGTGAGGTGGGACCACTTTCTAGATGGAGCATTAGTGTTTTTTGTGAATCAGATTATTGATTCTTTTTGCTTCTCTTCTCTTAATTAAATGCTCCCTTCTGTTTTTTTTTTCCCAGTCAATTCGAGGAGAATTTTGAGGAGATGAATAGTGTCGAGGCATCCGTCAGTGTTCCACACTCTTCTAGTTCAGCATCCCATGGAAACTCAGTGAGAGAGATGACCACTGGAGTAAGAACCCAGGAAAGAAGTGAACCTTTAGCACAACAGGCTCAAACTATGCTCTCTGATCCTAATGCTACTCAGGAGTTAGGGGGAATGATGAAGATTGTTCCTTCTGATGTAAATGTAAGTGTAGTCATACAGTGTTTTTTTTTCCTTATTAGCAATAACTACTTACAAAAGAGGCAAATAAATATTTCTATGGATAATAGTTTTGACTTCAGCAAAGGTATATACTAGTTCAGATAATGGTGGGTATGCGAAATGCTTGCATCTGACTATAATTTCAAGCTTCTGTTTCTAGCCCATTTGTTGATTGCCTGGCACAGTATCAGTTTTGTGAATACAAAATTGAGACGGTCCACATCAGAATAATATGATAGGAAAATAAGCATTGACTTTGATATAAAGTACAAATTGATTAACATGCTGGTTTTTTTGAAATCAAGCTTTTGAATTGTGAGAATTTACTCAATCATCTTAATTCATGTAAATGTTATCTGTGAAACCTATCTGTTATAGGTTCCAAGTTCCAACCCCAAATTGTTTCGTATAGCATCTATAAAACAAACAAGACATGCGGAGTTATGTCATTTCATAGCAATGATTGTGCGATTGCTATATTTGAACGAATTAAATTCGATAGTTTTTTGGACAGTCATTTTCCTATTCAAATGTGCAAGTTGTGTCTGACTGCATGATTCTTGTTACTATTGCAGAATGATTTGTGTCTAACTGCATGATTCTTTTTACTCTTGCAGAATGATTTTTGTCTAACTGCATGATTCTTGTTACTCTTGCAGAATGATTCAGATTACTGGCTTCTTTCAGACGCAGGCATAAGTATTACAGATATGTGGAAGACTGACAGTATCCTTGAAATTATTTCCCTTTCTATTCCACCCTCCCCTTCTTCCACTGATTATGTTAGAGTTCAACGATCAATCCTTGACACATGCGACAGCAAATATTGAATGGACTGACTTTGAAGTGGCTGATATCCAAACTCCTAGAACACAAACTACGTCGCCTGGGATTACTGAAGTGCCACCTGGTGCGTAAACTCTATTCAGATATAAATATTGACTTACCAATGCGCTAAGTGAAGAAATTCTTTTCCTGTTCCAATCTGCATCCTTCTATGCTCATCAATCACTTAAAATGCCAATGAGTTGTCGGAAGAAAGACAAACCAGGAAAGTGTTCGAAGCTGGCAGATGATAATCCATGGTTAATGCTATTGCTATATTGTAGAAATTGACCTTTGTGGTGTATTTGCAAGCAAATCAAAGGACAAAAAAGGAGGAAATTTTGTTTGAAATGGTGGACGTTCAGGATGGAACCGAGTATTGGTGTATCTGATGATGTTAGGGCATAGACAACACAGTTAATTTACATTTATTATTACATCATACTTGTACATTATGTTGGCTGGTACTGTAGTTTAGCGTTGGAAGGCAGCGGATCTGCCCAGCTGCTATAAGAATGTTGCAAGGGATAATATTGGGGCAGTATCGGTTCCCAGCCGAGAGTTAGTTTAGTTATGTTATTTAATTTCGCGGACTTAAGTTGTAAACTTTAATTTCATATTTCCTTGGGATGGAATCATGCTGCTTTTGTGGCCGAAGTTTCTTCCTACAATTTCTTCATGCATTTCATACTTGAAATTTTTTGAAACGATAGTGGTTGATTGAACCTAGAACAGCAGTTGATTTCCGTATTGTTCTTTCTTCGGCCCCTCCACCACCACTACCTACACCTTAAAAACCCAATTGCCACCGCAACCTATTCACCCAGGAAGAGAAAACCGGAGACTGTAACCAGAGGAAATACTACTACGTATTTATTAAGATTATATCTAGTATATATCGTCGTTGAAGATCGGCACCAATGGAATTTGTGCTTTATTGTGAGGATTATATCATGCAAACAAAAATTCTTAAGGAAGCACTTGAAAGTCTCCTCCCGCACCCATGGCAAACTGCCGATCATCTATTGGGTTTCATGTTCAAAACCGATGGTGGCAATGTCGGAAGCTTTGTTAAGCAGCAATGTGGGCGCATGTTAGGGAAAGATAAGCACAAACCAAATTACTTTATCCGAGTATCTGAACCTCCCAAACCAAAGATAAGGACAATCTTGGGTGTGAAAATGAAGGCAGCGGACGTAGTTGAGTCCATAGCCACAAACTAAATAATAAAGCAAACGGGCCCCAATTTAAAGGCAACCAGACTGGTTTTTCTAGGGAACTAGCTAGGTCGCCAAACTGATTTTTCTCTTGTTCCATTTTTGTTGGGCGACACAACCGTGCCCCTTCGTGGACGCGGGTCATTATTATATGGACTCTGTAGACACATGCAATATAGCAGGACCAAATTATCCACCCACATTCAAAAAAAAAAAAAACAAAAACGAGTGGTGTCCAGTGTTTTTTCATTGGGGATGATCTTGTGAGTTTTTTGATGGTGGAAGTAAAAGCCTAATGCTACTCAGATGGTTTCTTAATGATCTTTTATATAGATAACTGTTGCTGTTTCAGAAACCTGGAGTCCAAATTTTCAACGATCCTTCAAGAAACAACTTGCAATCATCCAACAGTAAATGAGTGGGTTTCGCTAGTGAAATTATCGTTTTCAGTTATGACGGATACATGTATCATGCCACCAGTAAAAAAATGAAGAACAGTAAGTTCTTCACATAATTTTTATTGGTACTTTGGCATCATTCAATAAACAAATTAAGGTTTCATATGATTTTGCCAAACAAAATTACACAGGAAAGGGTCTCGAAACGGACGAATCAGAAGCCTTGCTGCATAAGATTACAATGCATTATGCTACCACTACTAACTAGGGGTCCAGGGCACAAAAAGTGAGCTAAGGCCCCCCAAATTCATTCTTGATCTAAATGACCCAAAGTTATCATTTGCAGTCCAGCTCAGCACCACGTAACCTTTACATACTCCACGTCAGATGCCAGGTTAATGGGTCCTCCATTTTGCGTTGCTTCTAGAGTTTTAATTTTCTCCGATTTCACGTCTAATCATTAGTTTTTTTTTCCCTTCTTTGGCTTTTTAGAGTGGAACAATGAACTTATACGTAATCAATGGCAAAAGCCAGCATTTGTGTCTCATCCTCGTTAACCTTCTTTTGTAAATAAATGGCTGTTGGGCGCTGGCACCTTAAGATCAAAACACAACAAAACTTTCACTTTAATTTGACAAACAAGAAGAGCACGACCATAGGAAGGAAAGTAAGGAAGGAAATGCACAAAACATGGATAAAAAACGACACGAACTCTACGAGGCTCCAGTCCCATCAAAATTGACCACTTAAATTAATCAATTCGAAAGAAAGTGATACTCCCTTCATCAATTAACAAAAATTAAAACACGTGGCCAAAGATTGTTTTGGTTTCGTTCCTAGAATACCACTACCAATATGGAGAGTGGAGAGGACCGTTGGTGGGTTTACTGCATCATCTTCCCTACCCTGCGTGGTTCCTTGCCATCTGTTTTTTAGATCGACGGAGTAGGACGGATGGGAAGCATTTTTAAGGTAAAACAGGTACAGCATACAATGAATAATAGGGTTAATAGCTAAATATTTCTTTATATTATATAATATGATAATTGTTTAATTTATTTTTAAACTTTTAACTAAGTTAATTTTTATTTTTAAATATATGTTAACTTTTTAATCTATTTTTTAAAATAAAAATTTCAAATCAAACCACCATGATTAGTAGTGTTATTTGTAGATAACTATTTTTAATATTTAAAATATTTTTTGTAAGCCAAATAAACAAAAAGCTATCATGATTGATTAAAAACTTAACATATATTAATGATAAATTTGATTCAATTAAAAATATAACGATAGATTAAAGAATTATATATATATATAGTAATAATAATAATAATAATTTTGATTGGATTGTCCCCTTGGAATGACAGGTGATCGTTTTTACAAGAGAAAGATTGTAAGATAAAATATAGCGAGTTCTTAAATTTTGTATCTAATTTACTAGTTTATTATTTTTTTTTAATGGAGTTATTGTCGTTATACTCGAAACCTTGATTTGCAGTTTTTTTTCATTAGGCTATATAGTTTCTTAATTCTACTTTAAGAAAATAACTTATGTTAATAATATTTTTTTCGCTTTTAAAGACTTCCTCCAATACTGAGGAAATAAGTTTGATTTCTGAATTATTAATTAATCACTTTTTTATTAATAGCCTATTTAGAAGGAAGTATTTTTAAAAACTTACCGACATTAAAAAAAATTGTTGGTATTTTCGTTTTCGTCCAAAAGTATTCCTTCTATTGCTAGTTACCCCCTTTGTTTGCTTCGTTTCACTCTAGTGCATTGCCTTTTGTTTATTTTTAAGTTGCTACTTCCTTCAACAATTTTAAAACAATCTATAGTTTAATTATCAAGAATAAAGATTACAAAATTATTAATTTTAACGTAAATTTATATGCATACTCTATATATATTCAAATCTTGAGATGAGAGTATGTATGAACATTAGAGTGGATTAATTATAGTATAATACAAAGTGAAGGTATGTTTTTGTTAAAGTTTTTCATCAAGGAAAATAAAAATAAAATAAAATCTGGGTGGGTGCAATTGCCAAATCGGACTTTTAGCCTGTAGTATATATTAGAATCAATACATCATACTTTTTTGTAATAACACCACGTACGTTGCATTATATTACAAAACCTTTTACTGGATATACCACCGCCACCATCATCAGCATGATATATATATTTTTACGGTGGTATTTTTGGATAGTTTCCATGGATTGGATTTAAATACGAGGGAGTCATGCTTGATCATAATCATGATTATTGTGAGCTAAATTATAGAAATGAAATCAATGAAAGAATTTTATTTTTTATTTTTTTAAAAAATAAATAAAATTAAGGGGCAAAACAACGAAGGGATAACTATTCTCATGACCTCGTGAAAGATAACGACAGCATCTGCTAATAATTGCAGTCAAGGATTGGCAGGCAGTAGGAGCAGGTACAAGCACGAAAGTCATCAGCCATCTCACGACCCAAGCCTGTCACCCGCGACAACCAGCCGCCATATTCCACAATAAACCCCAAAATTCCCTTCCTCTCTGTCCCCCACAGCAACCATGAACAACCAAGAACCATCACCACCACAAACACCCACCCTCCGCCGGAGAAACTCGATATCCACGCCAGTAGCTATCCCCTCCAAGCTCTCCTTCCACACTTCCAGCCTCCCTCCATCACACTTAAACGGCACCCTTCCTTCTCCCCTTGACATCTCCCTCCTTTCTGTCAAATCATCTTTATCCTACACTTCTCTTAAAGACCTTCTCCCTTCCGCCACCGTTAACTCCCCAACAGCCGCCGCTTCCACCACCACTTCCGCCTATGAAATTTCTATCCGCAACCGTCTTGTCAAGCAAGCTGCCTGGGCTTACCTCCAGCCAATGTCTTCATCACCTGATTCCTCTGGCACCCACTCCCTCCACAGCCTCTGGGTTTGGTTCTTCACCAAGAATCCATTCACTTCTTGTTTTCGGTTCATTACCGTTCATGTTATTCCGAGTATAACAAGTGCTTTTGATCGGATCCTCCATGTCATTCGAGTCCACTTCAACAGATAGCTGTAACTCAGTGTCAATTTCAATGTGTATCTGACTCAGCTCGAGTCAACTTGTAAAACCAGGAATAATTTAGAAAACAAAGAAAGAAAAAATCATGTACAAGAAAAAGAGAGTGATTGGGATTCAATTTGGAAATGAAGAAAAGAATGACTGAAGTTTCTTGTTGTTGTTTTTTTTTTTTTTTTGGGGTGGGGTTTGATCTTCTGTACAGTTTTTCTTCTGTTACAAATTTATTTTTTCAGTGTTGAATTGGTTTTGATCTTCGTAGCCTCATACGAAATTGCTGGAGCTTTCCATTGGCATTAGAATCAAGGCTAGTTGAGTTGTCTGTGTACATTGCGGTAACAGATTCTGTTTCCTCGTTGAGGTGGGCCTGTCCTTGTTTGGATTTTGGTGACCCTGCAACTGCTCGATTGATGGTGCTGCTACCGGGCGGTGGCGGTGGTCTTGGCGGCCCCTTGGGGTTCCTGCTTGTATGGTTGTTCAACGAGGGCAACTCATTTGGAGGAGGTACTGGCATTGGGGGGCACTAGGTTCATAGCCATTGCTCTTCTGCAAGGTTGGTTAGAGAAATCACAATTGGTACTAATTAATCTAGGTAAGTGTTTTTATGTATGCTAAGAGCTGTGATTATATATATCATCTAAGAAACCAAAGTTTTGAATTTGTTTATTACTGAATACAGAATTGCCAACCCAAATTGTCAGTTAGCTCGATATACAATTACACTGTTGATTCCGAAGTTTAATCCAATTCACTGGCTCTAAAGCCTGTAGTGTTTTTAATAACAGATGTTTCTTCCGGAGAATTTGACTAGTCCATTACAAAGCTATAGCCTATAGGGATGATTGTCTACTGTTGGATCAGTAACAATAGTTTGTGGTGGTAGCTTGAATTTAGGCATAAATACTTTCAGGTTTGGAGAGTGATAAGTCATATCAAGTGTTTTACAAGCTAGGTATCCATTGAAGAAAAAGAGTGAAATTTGTTGGATGCAAGCAATAAAGAATATCATCAGGGCAGGGCAAGAAGGAACAACAAATGCAACTAGTATAATTGGCCAAGGAGTATTTACAAGAACCAAGGTTTCCTTGTCCAACATGGCAAGTTCTATTTTGCTTGTGGAAGTGAAATTTGTGGCTCCTAGCTAGTTTGTTGTGGAAGAAATATCTACCTCCGTATTGTTGCCTGGGAACTTCCCTGACTGACTCGCCAAGTATTGCAGAGCTTCGAAGAATTTAGTCTGCCCCAATTCTGTACAGTTATGCCAGTAGTAGATGGCAAAGTCCCAGGCTCTACCTCTCATCTCGTATAACTTCCTTTCGATATCCGTTTCATGCCTTGTTACAAAAGGCCTCAACATGGCGTCGTAGATATAGCCAGTTCCCTGAATTGAGCAAAAGGTTAACGTTATAATTTGCTGAACTTGGTGAACAAAATTCCTCCCCCAGTTTCTTTGAAATCTGCCGCTCTCTTTACCTTTGTTTTTGGATACCATAAGTAGATAAAAAATGCCAGCTTCACCTCACCATACATTGGCAACCTTCAACATAAAATGAGGATAAAATTAAACCCCACAGAACAGGTGCCATGAAATAAGAATAAAATCAAACACCACAAAATAGGTGCTTCTGGGCAGGCGCATGAAAATTGCAGTACTCTGCTTACCATGAAAGAAACGTGTCCCCAATCCTCTCACAAACCGTCATAAGTGCTATTATGATCCTGCGAAGTTTAATGAGGAATACACTTATAATTCAAGGGCTGCAGAGCATAAAGAAAAAAGAAAATTCATGTACAAAGAAGGCTAACGGAAAACCCTTGTAATTTAAGCAGTGATGCTTTATGAGGTGTTACTATTGCTTTTAGAAAGTTACACCTGAATGGAGTAGGAAATAGGGAACCCAACTCATGATCCCCGTGACTTCCATGTAAAGATTTGGTTCCCCTCCATTCTAACTCAAAATCCCCCCTTTTCTTTCCCAATTTGCAAGATTAAGCATCAATAGCACTTTTATACTGGTCATTTTCTTACCCCCTTTCTGAAACAGAATGGATTCACCTCCTTATTGCGAAAGAACATCAAACTAAATTTGTTCAGGAGACCTTGAACAGAATCAATTTCAACATACAAAAGAAGACCAAGTCTGCTGGCTTGAATGAAAAAATGGGGACTTACCAATATTGACACCAGAATCTAATTTCTTCAATATCCACCTTGTTCTTCTCCACAGATTTGAAACATTCAAATGCAGGGTATGCATACCCAAAAAGTAACCTGGCGTTAACAAAAATAGATAAAACAATATTCAATTTCAACAAGCATCATTCAAAAAAGAGAAAAGAGAATTATAGATAAAGTATATGCAGAGAATCATAATGAAACAACAGAAACATACATAACAAAGGAAGAAAAAGGAAAAAAAAAAAAAAAAAGAGAGAAGGAATATTGTTTAATAACATACACAAGACATCTGGTGATGAAATCTCCTAACATCCTTAATTCCTCCAAAATTCCTGAAACACCATGAAATAAAAATCTCCTCATTCAATCAAAATATGGAACACTAAAAAAAAAAAAAAAATGGTAAACCAAAAGACAAAAGTTGACATCCAAAGAAGAAGAAGATAAAGCACCTGTAAATAAATGAAACCAAAAGAAGAAAATACCGGCACCAATGAACTTGTAATGATCTGTTGAGTAAAGAATCAAAATCTTGAAGAAACTTTCACGTGAAGAATTTTTCTTCAAACTCTGCATTCAAAACATATATATATATAAAGATAAATCAACAAAACATGGGTTTAGCATAGTGATCATAGATTCTTTAGAAGAGAAATGGGGTTTAAACCTTTTGAGAGAGGGATCTCTGGTTCTGCGAATAATGGCAAGAAAATCCACAGAGAAACGTGAGAGCAGAGGACAGACTTAGTTCTTAATTTTATAAAACACAGAATTAATGTATTTGTCTGTCTATCTATATATTTATATAGGCAAAAAGGGCAGCAGTCCTGTAGTTAATTAAAGAAGAGAATAGCGACTGGAAAAAGAGAAAAAAATTGAGCAGGGGGGGGGACGAGATTTCTTGCAATGGACGCCTCTCTAATATTTTTTACACGCAATTTTTTAAGTGGAGGGAAAGAGGGGATTTTTTGGGATTCTGCCAATAGATTCACCGTTTGGCAGTTAAAGTTTTCTGTTTTCTTAGGGTGTTTCTGTCATTTTGTCGGCGGTTTTGGTAAGGTCCAATCGAGGGCAGCCTCTCCTAATTTCTTTTCTTAGCCATATAAAAAAATTCCAACCTTTCTCCATGATTGGTTAATTGCATGCGTGGTTAATTATAGGCAAAGTTAGATGTGCATATTGTTTTAATTAATGCTTTGATATCATTATTCTTCAGGTCTTGATTTCGAAAGAAACATTAATTTAATTTAGTCAATTTTGCAAATTATACCAGCAAATAACATACCATAACGCTATATATATATATATATATATATGTATCCCTCAATCTCATTTTCAGATAAACCCCAAATGATAAATACGATAGACGTACGATTAGTTGTTAGATTTATCTACTTTATTTAGACGTCGCAAATTATCTGGTATAGTGTAATATAATTACCGCTATAAAATCAACGGTATATGGTATAATTTTGGAACTTGGAATTTAGTATTCAAACCGCCTTACAGATTTCTTGGCAATAAAGCCAAGCAACACAGAAACTGCATGAATTAATAGCCATTTTTGAGACATTGACTTTGTAAACATGAGAAACTTAACTGAGGTCCCTAGCCGTCTGCCCATACGGTTGACAAGTAAAGAAGAAAGAAAATACAAGGAAATTTCTTCATATATTTCTGTGTCGTAAAATAAGACTCAGTCACTTCATTATATTAATTATACGACCTTATCAAATATAAAAAAGACCAGGAGTCTCAAGTTAGGGCATCTATGGTAATAACTCAAACTTTGACCACAACGAAAAGGTCATGTTCCCTTCCTTTTTCTTTTTCTTTTTCTGTCGGACCCATTTGATATTTTAGAAGCTTCAAATAGTTTAATTTAATTAAGGGTTGATTCGACAATCAGCATTTCGTTAGGACAGTCTTTTTCAATCAAGTTACCAACGATCGGTACCTAAACCAAAACTTAATGTGTCAGGAAACACGTCAGTTGAAAATGGGTTAGAATTCCATGGGGCATGGAGAGCCAATCAAAAGAAGAACCTTCTTCCATCTTCTTATTGCTTTCAATTGATTTCGAGGTCAAAGTATGATCCAGTCTTAGTTTTTTTTTTCGATCGTAAGATCCACTAATTTATAATTCCAGAAAAAAAGACCATGGGAAAAAAAAAGATTGATAAAAATACAATTGTTAGTTGCTTAATTTGAATGATCTGCATCCTTTCAAGCAATGTTCATAAGTTTAGTTGATTGGGTTTTCTTTGCTCTTTCCGCCCCAATCGGACAACCAAACAAGTTGGTGGGCCCTTTCCATGAGGCAAATGCTTATTATATAAATTAGTTTATCTTCAATCTACTATTTACCCATATCTTTGGGAGTATATGTTAGGATGCTCAATCAACGCTACAAAATATATCAAATAAAGTTGTTATAGTTGGGTCAACATTTTTAACCAACTAAACGGCTTCTAATGATAACAAAATAGATAAAATACGTTTTGAAATGAATCCACATGCCAGTCAACGTATTGACAATCTTACTACTCACTAAAAAGGATTTTAGAAAATACGATGAAGTTCTTTTTTTCATTTTTTATTTAGGATTAAAAACAAAAAAACCCACCCTACTCAGGTCATGATGTGCGTAGCGTCTATGAGTTTAGTTGGGGTAGTTAAGTTTGGTATTTGACTAGTACCTCTGAATCATCCACACTGGGAATCACATCCATGACTATATATTTTTAACTCCTTAATTTTGATTTTTTTAATCTTTTTTCTTATAAAATAAATATTTTATAAATTATAAAAAATATTTTATAAATATTTTTAACTCCATTAATATTGAATTTTTTTAAATTTTTTTATAAAATATTATAAACATTTTAAAAAAATATATTTTTTATAATTTATAATTTGTAAAATTAGAGGGATCAACACTTAATTATACCCATTTTAATTTATAAAATATTATAATTTATATTATAAATATTTTAATACTCATTGAATATATAAACATTTTATAAAAAAAAATTATAAAAAACAATTACATAATTTCAAACCTTTAAAAAATATTTTATAAATTAAAATGAACATAATTAAGGGTTAACCCCTTGATCTTATAAATTATAATTTTTTTTTACAAAATGTTTATAATATTTTATAAAAAATATTTAAAAAAGTTCAAAATTAGGAGAGTTAAAAGTATTTATAAAATATTTATAATATTTTATAAAAAAGTTAAAAAAAAATAAAGATTAAGGAGGTTAAAAATATTTCTTTAAAAAAAAAACATAATTAACAACGAAATGTCAAAACGATGTCGTTTTATTATTTTCAATAACAGTTAGTCCAATTGACTCGTTACATATAACAACAATTAGAGAAATTGAATTAATTTTATCCAAAAATCAATAATTTGAGATTTAAATTATGTAATTTGATACTAGAAATCTAAAATGATCAAATCCTAATAAAAGAGAGCAAATTTTGCTATTAAACTGATAAATAATTCTTCAACCTTAAACCGATAAAAGTTATTCCATTGTTAATAGTTTAAAATCAATGTGTTTGCTTAGCCTATCAAATTAATATCGAAACTTGCTTTAAAAAAATAAAAATAAAATAAAATAAATCAAATCAGGCCAAATCATTATTGAAGAATCAGAATGATTGATTATTGAGTTAGCTTATTAATCGTTAAGACAACCCTATATTATTTATTTATTTTTCAGCAAAACAATAATAATAAAAAACCACTATTTTTAATCTTTGACACGATCGCAATCAGATCATTCGAGTCGAAGGAGTTTTGATTGGGTCAATAGTCTAGATAGCCTAATTAGAAATCCGGTTTGATCTGAGCTCCGAATGAATCTGTCAACTATAAACCTGTGTAGCCGATTTAAATCTTTCGATGACTGGGGTAAATTTTTTGTCTCGAGGGTCTGGGACCTAAATTTCCACCCCTTCAAACTATTCTTAACCCCTTATCATGCTCTCATATTTAGGGATTGCTGTAAGTCCTGTCTAGCATTAAACCCATCATCTAAAACGTGACTGAGTCTAACCCATTCTTTCCACTTGTAGGATTTTGCAGGTCAACCAAACACTCATACACGTCCTACCTACCAGACTAGGGTTAGACTACCCCTCCAGCATACTGTCCTTTGATCTGTACAACGTTAAGATGATTGGATTATCAGACCTCAATCAACGCTCATTTTATTTAATTAAACAAATAAATGAGTAACGATCAACCTGTCCATTTTTCTTTCACCAAAACTATCCCTTTTCCTGAGATTTGATTCAAGTGTTTTGGAACGAGGGTAAAAGTCGTAATTTGAATCAACCCTGTCTTCGTCCTGGCCTGCCACTCGTCTCCCACTCTGTTTTCACTTTCTTTCTCTTTCTATTTTGTAATCTACACTCTAGCGTGGTTAAGGCAGCAAATGAATCAGAAATTACTACTTTGATAATTGCAATGACTGTGTAATGTTAGTGATGGAGCTTTGGAGGAAGGAAAGAAAATTCTTTTTATAATTCTTTGTCAAATCTTATCAGCATTAAGCAAGAAACCAAGCTTCAGCCCTTTTTTTTTTATTTAGAAGGTAACCTATCCGTGGAATCTATTCTGCTCCTCCGCTTACTTTCCCAATAATTTCTCGATTTCTTCAATGACTTAAGTTAGAGATTTCTTCGGGCAATGTACCTATAATTGAACGGAGCATGAAAGTGAACAGAAAAGTTTGAAGAATCGAAAGATGGTAAATTCAAATATTGTAAATGATCAGAATCACTGAGTTGACTCAGTCTTTTAACTCGAGAGTCTATTGCCTGATGACAACCGCCTAATCGTGGCCGAACATCTTTGAGTTGGATCCTGTCGATTGAAATTTGAAAGTGGAGGGGGAGAGAAATGAGCAGCTAAAGAAAAAATAAAAATAGTAAAATTACTACTTTATCCTCCTTCTGAAAGCATTGAACGAAAGGAAAGAAAAATGATTTTGGTAAAACATGGACGGGTTGATAACGTGCCCCCAATGTTTAAATTAAAAAAATAAATTAGTTAGATAAAATAAAAATAAGCGAAGTAAAATAAATGATTTTCCGCCTTCAAGGTTCTTCCTATTCCCATGCTCCTCCTTCGTCTCTCTCCCTGTTCTTCGCTTCCACCAGGTATCCATCAATTACAATCTCTATTAGTATTTTTCTCTAAAAAGTTAGTTACTGGGTAATATTTATATGTGAAGCTTCAGGTTAAGGTGTAGATCATCAAACTGTAGAAGCAGAAGCAGAGGCAGAGGCAGAGGCAGAGACAGAGATATCATGAGCTGTCAAAATTTGTTTTTCAATCTCAAAAAGCTTGCTACTTTACGACTCTCCAAAATTTCCGGGTATTTACATTTCCTACTAACTCCATATTCTTTTGTTTTCGGTATTCAATCATGCATTAGTGGGCTTTTTTTTTTTTTTTTTTTTTTGTTTCTGTGATCTTCAGTCACACAACTGAACTGTTAGAGATTCAGTCTGATAAACCCACATTTCATGTTCTCTTTATCCCCGGAAACCCAGGTTAGTCTTTCCTCTTTTTTTTTTTTTTTTTTTAAGTGCCTGTCGATGCGTGTTACAGTAGTAGTAATGGAGTGTTTGGTTTCTGAATTATGAGAATTTGAACTTCTTTTGGTTGTTACAAAATGCAGGTGTTGTTTCATATTATAAGGATTTTTTGGAATCCCTGTATGAGTTGCTTGGAGGAAGTGCTTCTGTTACAGGCATGTCTCATTTTTTAAAACAATGCTTCTTTTTGTTTTTGAGATATTTTTACTTTGATTGATAGTATTTTTGTGCTCATTAACAGCTATTGGCCACATATCTCACACTGAAAAGGTAATTGCATTTTTCTGTTTATGTTTTTCCATTTTACTGACTGGTGGAGAGTTATAACTCTTACATGCTAATCTTAGAAATGGGAGCGTGGGAAGTTGTTCTCCTTACAAGAACAAATTGATCACAAGGTATCGCCCTTCTTACTTTATTGGCTTTCAGCAAACTATTGGCCTGGTGAATAATGTTGAGTAATCTTTTACAATTTGGCAATATGATTTCTGATTGGTGAACCTGTGTCTCACAAGGATAAAGAAGCTGGGTGAATTGGCTGTGTGAATCTTATGCAACCTTGTTGATAAATCTGCTTGAGCTTTAGAATGCATTGGTGACGGAACTCAGGATCTGAATTTGGAATTCCATCTTAGTGAAAAATTTCCCATCTTTTCCTTTAGATGCAAACTCCTAACCTCCAGCTCAATAGTTGTGATCTTAATTACCTTCTGAAGAACTCTAATGCTTTCCCCAACTGACCCTTTCCCATATGATATACTCCCTTTTAGTTTATGCTTGGTGAAAACGAATTTATTTGTCAATTATAGCATATAAATTATAATCTCTATTTGATCTTGTCATTGTGCAGGTTGATTTCATTAAGCAGGAACTGCAAAATAATGAACTTCCCGTAGTACTGGTAGGGGCATTTTCTCTTTATGATTTGTATAATATTTTCTGTACGAATTCAATCCCTTCGGTTCCTTTCTATTCCAAAAAGATGAAAGTACCATCAAATGCTTGATCAAGATCACATTATATTGGATCAAAATGTATTCACTGCCACACGTACAGTTCTAAAATGGAAGAAACAACTAAGTTTTTGATAAATTTTCTAAACCAAAGTTCTTAGGAACTCAAATTTAATTTCTCTCTGAAGGTTGGGCACTCTATTGGTTCTTACATATCACTTGAAGTACTAAGGAGGTCTCTGGAGAAGGTGATGACTGTTTACCGTGAATTTTCCAGTTTCAGTTTGTGTCTTGATTTCTCATGGTATTCTGAATTACGAAACCTACTCTTGACATTTAACTCTGGCTTTACAGGTGTCATATGTAATAGGACTATACCCTTTTTTAATGTTGAATCCACTATCAAAGCAACAGTCTAATATTGAGAATCTCGCAGAGTAAGCTCTCTTTCTAGTTTGAGTAACATCCTCTCTTATGGAAGCCTATGGCCCTTTGTTCAAGTTGATGATAAATGCATGGACATTCCAGTGGGCAAACTGATTGGAACTGTTGACTGTGAATTCATGAACCATTAAACGAGTTGTTGAATGTCCTCAACAGTAGTTGCCTGTTTGATGAATATGTACTAGGGATCTCTTGATAGAAATCTTGTTGGGACATAAGGAAATTATAAGTTAACTAATCCAGTCTAACCAGTAGTGGTAGAGATTAGCTTTTAGCATGATGTGTTGGTCTCAACCCCTGGTTATTTATGTTTAAATTCATGCTCTGGTTTCTAGCAATGAAGCATTGAAGCACGAGGATTTTCTGACTGAAATTTGTGAGTTTCAGGTCCTCCATTTTGTCTGCTTTACTTAGTTTCGGTATAGCATGCTTGGGATTGCTACCTCAGTGTGCTTTAAAGTTGATTCTGTCAAAATCTATTGGGAGTTCAATGTCTGATACTGCCATTGATGCTACTTGTAGTCATTTGCTGCAGGTATGGTCATATTCTTTATATGAGATTAAAGTGTGGGCCTCGTGACTTGCAAACATATTTCCAACAAGTTTTAAACCAGTCGCTTCTCTTTTTCTATGGTTCTACTAACAGTTGCTTCTCTAAATCATATATTGCAGCATTCATTTTCCTTGTACTTAATTTTAAAAAACAAATGTTAGGTATCTGCATGTTCTGAGATTATTAATCTATTTTCATTTGATGTTTCATTTGTTCACAGTACCATACCATCCGAAACGTGCTTTACATGGCATTGACGGAATTCAGAAAGGTAATTTTGCTTGCTTACAAGATTAATGACGCAACATATTGGATTATTGGGTCAAATTATATTGAAATCTTCTCAAAATGTTCTTGAAATGTTGACATTTCAGAACATCTTGTTGCGTGGTGTTTGTTGTACTATAACAAAGAATGCCATTTCGTCTTGTTGGGACACTCATTTGAAATCCTCTTTTTCTTCAGAAAGCCTTGTAAACATCTGATCCGTACAGTTACTTTGCTTATTCTGCAAAAATATAGTTTATTTGTACTTGAATTTTTATTTTTTTTCCTGAAATTTTCACTGAAGCCTTAGCTTAACATTTTGTTCATCCACTTGCATTTTATTTTACATTCAAGGGGAGCACCCCTCATATTTCATTAAAGTACATTTGCAACCTAGGGTTAATCATTGTTCTTTTAATATTAGCTTTCTGAAACACCAGACTGGGCTTTCATGAGAGAGAATCAAGAGAAAGTTGCTTTCTTATTTGGTGTTGATGATCACTGGGGTCCGTTGCAAATGTTTGAAGAGGTGAGTGATGGATGAGTTCATGATTTCTAGTTCATGGGTTGTTGTATGCTCGTATCGCTCTTGAAAAGCTGCATTGGAATGTTGTGTATGTGCACACATGGCCTGCCTGTTTAGCTCATGTGGAGCATGTTAAGTTTTTATGGTGGAGCCCTTGCGTATTTGACCCTTAGGATGCTACCTCTTTCTTCTTTCCTTCTTCATGTTTGGAACAATTGAGTAGGTATATCTAAGAACAATAACAATTTGATTCGTATTATGTGGCATGAACACTAAATACGGTGAGCTAAAGAAGCTATAAATTCTATTTTCAAATCAGAGGAGGGTTATAGCAGAACATAAACAAATTAGAGAGGACTTCATAAGTCTGTTCTGAAACATCACAATAGAGTATCTTACAGAATTTTAAGGATTATAAAGCAGTATATGGACAACAGGAGGTTCTCCAGTTATCATGCCAATTTCAATAGTTGTTGATGTCATCTGACCTCTACTATGTTGGGCATCTTCCAATTAACTCAAATTGAAGTAACTGAATGTTCTAAAAGACCTGTGTGATTCTTTATTTCGCTCTGAAGGTTTTATGAGATAAGTGGAAAATAGATCTCAATGGAAGTTAGTTTCATATGAGAACTGATGATTACTTGCAGATTGGATAACATTGATACAAGCCAGTTTAATTAGTTTTATTAGTTTTGCATGAAGCAAACATACATTAATGAGAAAAAAATGGTGTGGCAGATATATATTATGTGGGAATGGTGATTCCCAATTTGTGGCAATACTGAATCCTACGGAAGGATCGAATAACGATTGCAAAATAGGGAACAACTCTCATGCCATATTAATTGATACATGCCAGTTTAATTAGTCTGCTTCTTGATGTTTACCACTCTTTCTATCAACTTGCTTTAAGAAGCTGAGCTTGTCCTGCAACTTGTCAAGCCACACCATTTTTGCCTTCGTTTTAGCATCCTTCAATTTCTCTTTCCAGGCTAACCCACTTTGATGCTCACAGATTTCAAAGCAGGTCCCTGGTATTGCTCTATCGATTGAAAGGGAAGGCCATACTCATAGTTTCAGTTGCACCGAGGCTGGCTCAGTATGGGTTGCCCAGCATGTAGCAAGCTTGATTGAGAAGCAATTATCAAGCTGAAGTCAAAAAGATTATTTCAAAATAAGCTGATATCCCTGAAGGATTGTTGTTCTGAAACTTGCGTTGAGTTGTTGAAAGATGACTTCATTCCCATATTATCAATGACTCGTCATTAAGGTGAGTTTAACAGTGATCTCCATTTTCTTGAAAAAAATCGTCCATTCCACTGCTATGAAAGCTTGAGATTCAACTTCAGTGGTGACACAGAGAAAATTGTGATGCATAAATAGTGTTAGCATTAGTGCACCTTTGTGCTGCTTATGGTTCCGTATCTTCTTTTGTAAGTATCTAAGCTAAGTTAGACACCCTACGAATTTGCTGCTTGGCATAACAGATGAAGTCTTACATATTCCAACTAGCAATTGCATGAGAACCTAACGTTTTGACCGGTGTCGTGTTATCTTTTTGGGGTCGACTTCTCTCTACTCTTTTTTCCCATCATTCCTCCCGAAGAGAAGCAAAGTTCTGTCTACATTTTTCAGAAATAAACCAATTGAAGGAGTGTGACATTAGTTGACGGTCGCTTACCAAAACAAACCTCGCCAATTTTGGAATTCTTTCATCCTCTATTATTCCCCTTTAAGATAAGTGAATGGGTAAGATCTTAGTAGTCAATTTTCACTCAATTAAACGCTAAAGTTAAGATGTTTTCTTTTTTGCCCTTATAGGTTCATCAATGTTCCACTTCTATCCCTACTATTTGTAATTTCTCAATGTTACCCTTATAATTTCTAAAGTTCTGATATTACCCCTATCCATTAAATTGCCTACTTTTTTTTTTTTTTTTGAGTTTTATTAGGTTTTAAAGTGTCTTTCTGAATATTATAATACTTGTGAGGATTTAGGAGGTAAAAAAAGAGAGAAAACAATAAAAACTAAAATTTATACTAAAAAAAATGAAGAAAAGTGAGTTATTTAGCAGTGAAGAGCACAATTGAAATTTTTTGAAACTATAGAAGTAATATTGGAAAATTTTGAACTATATGTATAGAAGTAAAATGTTGATGAATCTAAAAGGGCAAAAACATAGTTTACCCCCAAAAAAAGAAAATTGTGAGTGTTGACTTCTTTTGTGACTTGGAGGATATCATAAACATAAACAAGAAGATAAGAGATTTTTTTCCCCCTAACATGAGGAAGCAAATATTAAACAAGTGACGTCTCTTGCGCAAAACATATTCTTAACAGTTGAGCCTAGTCATCAACAATTTGGGTTTCGTACAGCAGAGGCCTGTGTTGGGTACGGATTGGCTTCTAGACTGTTTTCACCTTGGACCAAGCCCCAAGTTTTAGGCTTTTTCCATTTCTCCAGAGTCGAGAAGTAAAAGCCTAAAACTTGCCCACCTAGAGATTTGGGTCTTGGACTCTTGTCCATCTAGTCGTAATTCAATCCTAGAAAACATTTAACTCACTTCCCAAAACAAAGTTTTTTTTTTCGCAAAGGCACACATTAATATTAATATTAGACGAATATTTAAGTCCACATAAGCATAGAAAAAAATTCGAATGCTTTTTATATACAGAATAAAAAAATAAATCATTGCTTTAGCTGTGAATTAAAGACTTTTGAGGTAATTTTTTTTGATAAATATATTTATTATTATTATATATATTGAAAACGTAATGAGTGATTGGCAAGTTTTGAAAAATTTCCATATGAACAAGTATGTTTTACTAATTTGTTATGTGTATTGATGGTGTAATAAATTTTTTTATCAATTAAATCAATCATTACTTGCATATTGGATGGAAAATACATTGGTGTGTTTTTAGGGAAAAAAAATTACTTTATTTAATTTTCAACAAAAGAAAAAAAGAGAGTGAAAATTTCAATTAAGATTACTGTAAAAAAAACAAAATACCTAACATAGAAAGAGTAATTATGATAGTAGTTATTAATACATTGAATTAATTTTGTCATAAATTATTTAGTTATTGATAGTTAGTAGTTACAGATTTTTAAAGTCAAGAGTGGCCACGGTCGGTATGCCTACAGGTGAAAATAATTTAAAAAGGCCAACTCCGTGTAGCTTCATTCACTTGTCCCGTCCACATTATTTTTTGAATTTTTTTATTTAATTAAAATCTCCTCATTTTTATAAATTTATTAATTCAACCTTTTCATTATATATATATATATATAAACATATAGCATAATGGATCCAACCATCGCAAGTTTGTGAAACTAACCGTTAACATATAAGAGTGCCGTGAAAAGACAAAAAAGCCCTCACCCATATTATTAAGTCTTAAAATCAGTGTACTCTTCGCCATTCTCCTGTTCTTCAGTTGAGAAATTGCAATTCTTAAATCCCAAAACCTAAAAAGTCCCTAAGTCACTAAATTCTTATTATCCCAAACCCAAATCATGTTTCTTTTCAACCCGTTTTCTCTATTTTCTCTGTATTGGAAGAAAATCTAAATCCCAAAATCTGAAAATCTTTAATTTCTACATTGTTCGGACCCAAGGGTATTGATTACAGTTGAGAAGTTCAACTTGAGGTTGTTTAAGTCGATTGTATTTTTGGATTATCAAAATCCAGTTAATGGATCGAAACAGGATGAGTGTGATGTGTCATAGAGGTTTAGGAATAGGAAAGAGAAGTCATCGAGGAAGTATATATAGGGATTTTAGGAGGTTTAAGTTCGTAATTGAAGAGAGTCATTCTTACAAAATTGTGCATGCTGGTGGCTGGCATTCTGTTATTAATGCCAGGAGGCTGAGGATTAGAACTGCTCCTGACCATCAAACTGCCTCTATATGATTGTGCTCTTATCTTTCTTTAGTTGCATTGGTTTCATCTTATGAGTCACAACCTTCTTAACCGGAACTTTCTTCTTATGAGCGTGATCCCATTTCCTTCCTGATCCTTCTTGAGGAAAGATAACTACCAATCCTTCCCACCCAGATTATAACTACCTGCTAAGCATATACTCAAGTCCATGACAAATGTCCCGTTCAAATACGTAGCCTCCACCAACCCGCACAAGAAACTCCACATGTAATGATTCATTCTCGTACAACATTCCCCTCCTCTCAAATAATACAACTACTTCTCCTTTTTAAAGTTCGTTTCTGATATGTTGAAACATCAACTGATGCGCTCGTTTCAAAGCTTCAAGAGATGATTCAGCTTTGGAAGAATTTGTGTATAGCAACCAATGAACAATTATACAATTACTTTGATAAATTGAGGTCTCATTTCAAGGTGCATTTACTTGATGATTAGGAGATAGACTATTTTGGTTCATAACGAAGAAGAGAGAGACGGGGTAGCAGAGAGAGAACGAACGGCAATGTTTTTGACAAATATGACTTGGGTTGCTAATAATGGTGTGGCGGCAGTTATGTCTTTTGATCTTTTAAATTTTAGTTTTTTTTTCCCAGGACTGAAACCAATAAGACATGAGACTTTACCATGCCATGTGTTTTTTTTATTAGTTATCGTTATTTCTAAAATATATTATCATATAAATAGTTGATAGAATATCTGAATCAATAAATTTATAAAAATAAAAATTTTGATTAAGCTTTAAAAAAAATAATAGAAGTTCTATTAAAAAAATTCTAGCGGTACAAGTAACAAATCAGGGGTAAACCGTTTGATCCACTGATTCACATTGTTCCATGACAAGTACACAGACATGTAAGAATCCATTTTTCTGAATCATTCACCCATCCTTTTAGCTCTCTTTCTTTCCGTTTCCCTAAAGAGCAAGCAGCCAAGAAAGATGAGCCATCAACATTTCCTTTCTACAATAAAAAAGCGTGCCAACTTTCGACTGTGCAGGGTCTCCAGGTTTATAAACTCCTACAGTTCATTCCTTTCTTTCTTGTTTTTTCCTTTTCAAGTGATCGTTGGTACTTTAGTTTTTTTATTTTTTATTTTTTACTGTTTTCAGTCACACAACTGAATTACTAGAGATCGGAGCTGATGATCCAAAATTACATGTTCTCTTTATCCCTGGAAATCCCGGTTGGTACTCTCTCTCTCTCTCTGTTTTTGGGTCTGTTTAGAGCTAGTAAAATGGAGAGTAATTAGCATGATTACTAATTATTAATGTTGCAGGTATTATTGCTTTCTACAAGGACTTTTTGGAATCTCTGTATGAGCTGCTAGGAGGAATTGCTTCTATAACAGGCAATTAATTAATTCTCATTTCATACTTTGATATCATCTTTTGGTTCTTTACTAGTCATTTCTTTCTTCCCTTTAACTTTGAGCTACCACTTTTAACTCAATTGACTCGTTAACAGCCATTTCTCACCTATCTCAGACGAAAAGGGTACGTCAGTTCTCTTCAGCTTAAGATTTTGGGTTATGTTTTTGTAGCATTATTGAATACTATGATATTGCATTTTTTTTCTTAGAACTGGGAGAATGGAAGGTTGTTCTCCTTACAAGAACAGCTTGATCACAAGGTAACCCTTTCCCAGTTTTTGCTTTGTTTATCGAATTTGAGTGAATTGTTTAGCAGAATTTGTTTCTGGCTGATGGAGAACTGAGTTAGATCTGTTTTCCACTTGAGTTCCCTCTCATGATCATGGAATTGCGGACCCAAATTTTATCCAACTATTTTCCCACTTGTAATGGAAAATTTTAACTCCCGGATTTTACTTGACTGCTTTTGATATGTGTAAGGATTCTTTAAGCATTTCTTGAGTAAAAAATGAAAGAACAAAGCTCTGAAACTGTTTTTGTGAGGGCTAGTTTTCTCTTGAAGAATCCAATTTACTGTTGTAGTTTATTGCACATAATTATTCTCTCCATTTGATGTTGTGTTTTCACAGGTGGAATTCATCGGACAGGAACTGCAAAATGCTGAGGTTCCTATAATACTGGTAGGACTATTTTCTGAGGATATGATTTGTTTTACAATTTCAAAGTGATGCCAACCTATATTGTTTAGAAAACCGGACATAAAACTTCAATGTTTGTTTAAAATCAAATTAAATATCTTGGGTAAAATGTAGATTGTCCTGATATATATCACCCAGACTTAATTAAAGTATTGCTCAATTCATTATAATTGCCTCTCATGTTGAATGGATGGGTAAGGAAACGATGATTCCTATTTCAAATTATCATGTAGTAACAAGGCATCTTGTTTCCTTTTTTGATCATTTAACATTCTCAGGAAGTGCATCAACAAGTCCTTAGCTATTTTAGCTTATCAAATTGCTTTGCTATTGTCCATGATTCTGCAATCTGCATCATCCCAATAAATAAATCATGCCAGCTGATTTCTAGTTTTTGAACTGAAACTGTTGTAAATAATTTATCTCTATGAAGGTTGGCACTCTATCAACGGATATATAGCTATTGAAACCCTAAGGAGGTTTCAGGAGAAGGTGTTGACTGCTGTGTGCTAATATTGTAGTTATCTCTTTTGTGCTTTTGATTCAGAACAGCCTGCTCTCTGACATTTATTCCGGCTTTATAGGTGATATACTGTGTAGCGTTGTATCCTTTTTTAATGCTAAATAACCCGCAAACGAAGTTTCAAATTATTCTTGGGAAGATTTCAGAGTAAAGCTCTTCTCCATTTATTCTGAGTAACTCCACTTGTTTCCTGTTCTTGTATTGTGTGCACTTGGTCTTCTGTATACTAATATGCGTGTCTTGTAGTCCTTTGATTTCTTTTCTGTAATTTCCCTTGATGTCCTTAAAAAATATATGTTTTGTTCAAAGAATATCTCCTAGGTTTTTGTTGAAAGACATTTAGATTGGCACTTATTGGGTTGTGTTTCATGTGAGGTCTAATGTGCATGAAATGTTACCAGAGGGAAGCCAATGATGTAAATATTATTTAGTTTACTGTGTACATATTGAGAGAGAAGGGAAAGGGCATCAGCAGTAAATAACCTCCATTAACATGTTCCCTTAGGTTAGCACTTCAACCCTTGCTCAAACATTATAACCATCGCCGTTAACAAGGATCAAATATTACTCCTGTCCTGTAACATCAGCAGTGAATAACCTCTATTAGGTTAGCACTTCAACTCTTGCTCAAATATTATAGCCATCATGGTTAACAAGAATAAAATGTTACTCCAGTTACAGTTAATCCTGCGGCTTATAGCCTTAAGAAAGCTATATGCTTAATTTTGGTTAAATCAGAGTTTTACTGATCGCTTTTATTTCTTCATTTTCTCTTGGTCCAAAATCCAGATTGGTTTATCAAGTGGTTTTTTGAAATAGATATTTGTGCCCCTAGTTCTGCACAAGATGTATCATCAGTATATCACAGAGGCATATATATTCTGAAGGTTAACATTTGTGTGTTTCAGGTCCAGGATTCTCTCTGCCTCAGTTAGTTTCGTTCTAGCAACTTTGAGATTACGACCTAAGTGGGCTTTAAGGTTAATTGTTATAAAAATTATTGGAAGATCATGGTCTGCCACTGCTGTTGAGGCTGTTTGCAGTCATTTGCTGCAGGTACATTCTTATTTCTTGTACTTGGTAAAACGTACTTGGATAATGCTCCAAACTGAAAACTATTGCTTTGCCTTTTGCATGGTTAAATTACATACCAGTTCAATTGCATTCATTGCAGAGGACTGTCTATAATCACACACAGACACACAAATATATTCTGAACAGAAGTTTAAAACCAATGCTAAAACAAGTTAGGCATTCCATTCCTATAAGAAAAATTTGGATTTACTTCTATTCATGTTTTACTAATTTGCAGTACCACATTTTGCGGAATATACTCTTTATGACAATGACAGAATTCAAAGAGGTAATCTTGCTTAACTTGGGAGATTACCATTGTCGCATGCTATCAAATTTTAGGATTTCATAATATTCAATAATCTTCTTACATCATACAAAATGACTACTGAATAACATCACTGCCCATCACAGCATGCGGTTATGTTTTGTAATAACATAAATGATGCTAGTTTCCTTATCTGAAGGAGGTTGATTCCACAAAGCATTCTGCGCTCTCAGAAATTCTTGTAAATAGTTAATATATTCCAGTGGCAATCATGCAAAAGGCACTTTTATTTTCACTTTCCTTATTCACATTTCAGATTTATTCACCTTAAAGGATTCTACACACAGCCTAACACAGGTAGTACAGCACCCTTGTAACATTTTGTTACTGTTTGGATTTCAATTTAAAGAACATGCAAATTCAATTGAAAGGGTCCAATAAATACTGTTTAAAACTAAAAAAGAAGAGAGTTTCAAATTCCCCTGCTTATATGATACTGTTTTGAGTTGGCAATGCAGAATTGCGATTATTCTTCCATCAACTTCAGTGAGAGTGATGAGCACATTGGACTGCAAAAAATTCCACAACTTCCTCTCAACTGTCTCTTTTTTTATTTTTCCCCTTTTTTATTTTAGCTTTTATTGGCACCAGATTGGAAATTCATGAGAGAAAATCAAGATAAAATCGCTTTTTTATATGGTCTTGATGACCAATGGGCACCAGTGCAAATGTATGAAGAAGTAAGTTCTGTTAATTACTTTTTGGGGTTACTGTTCTGTCTTCTTTTTTCTTTTGGTGCAAGGAACAATGTGTTTTCATGTTTTTGTTTTATGCTCATAGAGCTCTGTTAAACGCTTGTGGGCTGTGAACTCATCATTTAAGTTAGTATAACTGGCTCCTTCTCATCAGCATCATATGCTAGTCTTCCCCTTCACTCCTCTATCCACTTTAAGGACTAATTACTTGGGTGTGCCTCTCTAATAATCAAATTTCCGAAGAATACTTGTAATGTCTGTGCATATTGATGAATTAGAGGGAATGTGACGAAATTGAAGCACAAGATCGAGGATGTAAGCATGTTCTGAGCAAGAAGGCAAAGCATTTTGGCTGATTTGTAACAAACATTTGGTAGTTCATGAAATATGGAGGTTTCCCAATTGTGATGCCAACTTTGTTATGTTAGGACTATATGGTGTTGCACATCTGCCAGTTTATTTTTTAAAGGGAAGCAATTGGATATCCAAATCAGACCTTCATGGATGACCAACCAAGTAGAGTACTTGTGAACTTCTACTACGGTTATGAGTTCCATGAATCTCTATTTTCATCAGGATAATGATGAATAGATCTCCATTTTACCTTCAAAAATGATGACGAGGTCTTGATGTTAATCAGCTTGATCTGGAATCACAATGGTTAATTGCACCATATTGAAAAGATTTGAGAAGATGTTAGTTGATTAAATCGTTTTCCAAGCAATCATATCTTCTGATGACAATCCTGGTACAAAGGAAATGTAGATGACCTTTATGTTGCTGGCCCTAAACACACAGGAGAGATTAACATAGCCAATGAAAATGTGAAGCAACACTTATGTGACTGCAAGAGTAGCAGCTATGAGCTTTTGTTTGTGATTCATCATATTGAGCTTCTGTTGCTATTTTTATCCACCTGCTTCACGTAATTAGTAATCTCGCAACCTGTTGCCATGCACCAATTTCCCCCATCGACTTTTTGGACTTTCTGGGCTGATGTTTAACTCACATTTCATGTTCACAGATTTCAAAGCAGGTCCCAAGTATTGCTCTATCAATTGAAAAGGAAGGCCTCACTCCTAATTTCTCTTGCACTGAGGCTGGCTCAGTATGGGTTGCTCGGTATGCAGCAAGCTTAATTAAGAGTCACTTCTCAAATCAAGGGAAATAAGGTCAGTCTCACTGCATCTGTATGTTTAAACTACAATGATCCTGTTTGGACAGCTGATGTATCAACTCATCCCCTCTCTATTTATAGTGGCACGGGAAATATATTGTAGCTGTACTGTTAGTGCGCTCAAATAAGCACTTCCATTTTTCAGTCATAATTTTTTTTTTCAATGATTTTCATTTTTATTTGTGCTTTAAAGGTGAATCCATTAATGTGAAGTTTATATTTGATGGATCGACCTTACAATGATCTCAGTAGTATCCACTTCTTAGCTGTCAAACCTGTGTGCTCTACTGCTCATAGTGACTGGGTGCAATGCCAAAATAACCTTAGCCATATCTTGATCCTTTTACCCTTATAATTAGCAAGCACTTGCTTAAAAATTACTTCAACACTGAAGCTCATATTTATCGAGTCTGTAGACTTCATTAAAATCCATCCTATGAACTGCACGGTTTGTGCACTTATCCAGATACAACAATTCCTTGATTGTGGCTAGATGTTAGATGATCAATCACACTTTACGTTTAAATTTTTAGTCGATCACCATCAAGTTGAAAGAGAAGTGGATAACTAGTGAATATGTGGGAAATAGTTACAAGTTCTCTATGTGGTGCATATTCCTGGCTTTGTGCAGCTTAATGGCTTTACTTCAGATTATTCGTTGAGATGTTAAGATTAGGCATAGATTATTCTGATAGATGATGGTCTATGACTCATGCTAAGAATTCACATTTGATTGCCTAGGCAATCTGGCTGAGAGGCCTCTATAACTGCTGTTTGAGTTCTTTATAAATTATAACGATTCACAACCTTACTGCCGGCATTTTTACTTTTTAGTGTTTCCTCCTTAGCAAGTGACCGTCAGTAGAGTCCTCCATTTTACCATGCCCAAGATCACCTGATATCTTGTTGCAGCATTTGGGTAAGATTTGATGAATGGAGGACTGGCCACCTAATTTTGGAAAAACTTTAGTACTTAGGTTGTGCTCTAATTTAGACCCTCGTTTGTAAATTTTGTGCTTAGTTTACTAATTTGTTGAGAAGTATTCAAAATTGCATATTGAGAATTCTATGGAAATGGGTCAGATAAGCTAAATTCATTATTGCAATCATTGGAATAAGATTTTCTGCATGAAGTAGAACCATTCCCCTAAGGGTTCTTTTTTTAACCAAAAAAAAAAAAAAAAATTTCAGGATGGCTGGAGAATCTCAAGATCATTGGCTGAAAATGAGTTAATTTTAGCTTGTCCCATAAGCACCCCGTGACTTTGATTTTGTGGATAAGAAATATTTTTTCAGTAGCCCCCAATTTTGTCTTCATACTTGTAAACACAAGTTTCCAACTAAAAGCCAACATCAATATGGACAAAGAGAATGTGGTAGTGGATTTATGTTGCACATGAGCAGTTCCACACACACACAAACATATATATATATATGTTGTTAAATCTATGTTTAATCGAGTAAATTATAGATTAGTCATTCTTGTTTTTCAAAAGGAATCAAATAGTCTCTCTAGTTTCAGTAATTAATTAATTAATTAGTCCTTATGTTTTTAAATCTATTTATAGTTTAATCTTTTGTTTTTTTTTTAAATTTATTTTGTTTTCCTGTTTTAAGAAATTAAATAAGAAAAATAAAAAAATATTAATGAGAAAAGAAAATATTTTTTTAAAAAAAGTAATATTAAACTAATTAAGATCAAGATTGGTGAAAGAACTAGTTAATTAATTTTTTAAATAAGAAGGACTATTTAATTTATTTTACAAAACTAGAAGGACTAATTTATAATTCACATTGTTCAATCTATTTATTTAATTCATCGAACTACGGAATTAAAAGTACATTTAGAAGCACAACAACAAAAAAATCAGTCGGTTAACTAACAAATCCAATGTAACCCCAGATATACAGTTAGTTCACTTTTCTTTTTTCTTTTTGCAAATTTTCATGTATACCATATTTTTACCCCTAGATGGTGGATGCCAAATTGCCAATGATTTAAGACTAGGACAGGTCTTGAACCCAATTTTGTCTCTTTTGCCCTTGCCTCTTAATAATCTCACTTTTTCAGACATGGCTGACAATAACTCTAAAAACTAACTCCTCTTTGTGGTAAATTCGAGCTAGATAGTGCCAAGCATTGTTTTTTGTAAGGAACAAAAGACTAAAGGTATAGCTATGTAACCGGAAAAACAACAATAGACTTAAAGTCCATGCCATTTGTAATGGTCCAGATCAAAAGCAGAGCAGCAAGCCATTATAGTTTTTCTTTAATTCACTGTGAAGTTTGTACGATTCTGAATCTTTCATAATCATAACTTCATATATTTCTTGAATTTGGGGGATTTTCTACTCACTCCCAGATGTTAAACCGAATCTTTTTAAGTAAATGGTTGAAGATTGACCACAGTGTTCAGCTGGAAAGCAACCTTTTTCTACATATTGGTGGGTATTGCTGCTATTATAAGGGTAGGGACTGGAAAGGAAAGCATCAGGATCATGTGTGCTTCCATTAAACTAACTTCACCTTTTAGGAGCATGTTTTATGGAATGAAAAGTAGTTTTTCACCCTTCCCTACACTTAATCCAGGGAGTTTTGCTTGGAAAGGAAAATGTTCCAAACTATAACACATTAGAGTTCATCATAGGTTTCTGTGTGTATGTTGTTTCATTTGCCAAAGAAGCAGTGGCAATGGTAACGATTAGCATGATTATTTTAAATTTGTCCCCATTTTTTCTTTTTCACCAGTACTCACTCTTATCGTAAGGAAAAATTGATTGTGGTTTCGAAGGTAAAATTCAAAATTTTACCATCTCAAATGCCACGAATTCAAACAAGTTGGTTGTGTTGTGAACATATCAAGTGCCAAGAGTTAAGAGTTGGGCACCGGGTCTATTGCTTTTTCCCTTTGTAAGATTGAAACACTTGCTGACAAGTGGGATTACTTGGGATAAATTAATATGATTCCTATTACTATACTCTCTTATGCAGAGCAGTAGCTTCCTTACATTCAAAGTCTTACCTGGATACCAAAAAAAAGCCATTAATCATCTTCAACACATATATTCATAATTATTTAATGAATCTAGCTTCTTTATAGTTGTCTTCAAATCATGGCACAGTACCAACTTGGATTAAACTAGGAGGAAGAAAACAATGGTGACATTACTACACTGACTCTCGTTATAAAAGATGACAGCTTATCGATGGGCCTTTGGAACCAATTAGTCAAACAATTGATCAATATGACAAAACTAATCTGATCAAGAATAATTAGTGTACGGTCAAGATAATGCTGTGATAAATAAATGTCAACAGACAAGTCATAATATCAATTCATATAGAGAGCCTGGACCCATCTTAACTCATGCGGGATTTATAGAGAACCCTCTCCCCTCCCCCACCCTCAGTCAAATGCCTTCTCTCTATCCACTCACTTCCTCAGGCACTCTTCAAGGAAAATCCCAACAGACTCCTTTCCTCTCTATCTCTATCTCACACCCGTTTGACAATCAACAATGTCTACGAACAAGAAAAAGCTCCTTCTCAACACAGTCTCTGTGAACTTAGGCTGTAGCAGCTGCAAGAAACCAAAACTTTCCAGCATATTCCAACCCAAACCAAAACTCCAAACCTCCACTTACCGAAAACATAAAAAAGATATCTACTCCTCTTCTTCCTTTACCTCTTCTTCAAAGATAACCACAAACCAATCTCCAAATGCCCATGAATATCACGACACTCCTACCACATTTTCTCCGACAATGGACACGCCACCCCATTTCTTCTCTGACGCAGACAACAACATGAAGTGTTCAAAAACTGTACGAGGATTTGGTCGTGTTGGAGGTGAAAGTGTTGCTGTTGAGAAAGATTCTGATGACCCTTATTTGGACTTCAGACACTCAATGCTGCAAATGATATTGGAGAAGGAAATTTACTCAAAAGATGATCTTTGACAGCTTCTTGATTGTTTCTTGCAACTAAATTCGCCTTACTATCATGGGGTTATTGTTAGAGCTTTCACTGAGATCTGGAATGGAGTCTTCTCTGTGAGGTCTAATACAACTACAGGTTCCGAGAAGCAGCTGCATTATTACTATGGTTGCTAGTCACGTGACTTGGGAAACGGTTCCTGCTGTTCTGCACGTGAAAGTCTTCTCTGGGCACAAAATTTTCCTCTGTGGAATGAACGGTTGCTTAATAAAGTGGACGTCTTTTTTCTTGTTGACATGAAATTTTATGTGTTAGTTTAGGCATATTTTGGTATTTTGTGTATGTAATGGCAAAAATGTGAGTGTGACATTTCTAACTTTTGCACCTTTGTTGGTTTGTATAATGGCAAAAGTACAAATATTAGAGTTGTAGAATCTTATCTATCTATGCTGCTAATGAAATTTACTTTCCGAAAAAAAATAAAAAAAAATCAAACTGTTAATTACCTTTTTTCCAGGTGAATGAATAAGCTGTGAATAAATAAATCTTCATCGATCAAACTTAAGTACACAACATTACTTCCTGCCTTTTATATGTCGTTGATCTATCATATCCTTAAAGAAAACATTTCTATGAGTTGAGACTGCTATATGTATGCTAGCCAAAGGGCATTCCAAATGGGTGAATGTGGAATGGTGTTATTATAATGATCAATGAACAATTTTGTTTCTTGTGATCAGCCGGTCTATGCGATAATGTTGATGTAGAGAGAGTGAATTATATAATAGAGTAGAGAAACTAAAAATCTAGAAATGTTGTTGTAACGGAGTCTCTTGTATTGGGTTGGGGATCCGGGTGAAGTTGGTCAAAATCATTGCCAGTTTTTGAGAACACATCGTTGATGGTGGGGAAAGATAGGTGCAGGGCATTGAACATTGGCATTGGGATTTGAAATATATAAGTATGTTAGAGGAGGAAGGAAAGATTTGGTTTAATGCATTTTTAATGGGAAATAAATTAGAGATCTTATGGTATTATTTTCCGGTGACTTGACTTTTTGTGCGTTTCCCAATACCGCCATTAAATTGAACTTGGATGATTATCTCTATGGAAAACGACTGTGCTAGAGTTTTCAGATTTTACTACCATTTATGGCTATGTCTGGAATTGATTTAAATGCATGCACTCTTAGCCATGAGTGATGATGATCTGTGAATAGTTTGAATATGACTCATAACCACAACAAATCAAATCGACGATTCAAATCCGTTTGATTTTATTATCTTATCCATGACACCGAATTATAATATGATTCGAATGTGATTCATTACTATCTATCCAGTCCTTCATCATAAGTTGATACACCACATATGCAAATGTGCAATAAGTGCTGACTAATTGGGGAAATGGGAATGATTAGCATGAATATTTATTTATTTTTTGGCTATTGGATCAACATTTCAAAATCAAGAGAATGCGTATGAACATCAACAAAAAGGGAACTTTCAATGCAATCCATGGATAAAACATATACTGATACTACTCATTCTCATCTGGTAGGTTGTATTTGGTTGATCCTTGTGAATTGATGAAAATTTTAAACAAATTCCTATTTTACACTTAAAATTCGAAGTAGCTAATAGGGTAATATGATTTTTTTAAAAAGGAATAATAATGCTTCATAATTACAGTATTTTGAATTAACCATAGTAAGCCCCTTCTTTTAATATATCAATAAATCGTGTATTGGGATCCTTTTCAAAGTTGTTTTCCTTTTCCTTATCAATTTCTTTATTATTTCAGAGAAGAACTTTATTAAAAAAAAAAAAAAGTAGAAATATAGATGAGCCTGCCAAATTAAAAACTTAGGCCTTGGTGGGCTAGTGCTGTATATTGTGAGGGCATTATAAATGGGCCAAAGGAAATGCCAATATCCATTTAAGTGGCAAAATAGCTATCTCCTCTTACAAATATTAGTAGCCGTCTCAGTCGAGATCATTGAAGTTGCATGAGATAGAGACTGAACAACGAATGGTTGAGTTCAGAGTCACTTGACTATGCTGCACAGTGGCATTACCTGTTGTGTTTGTAGATTTCAACCTTCCTTTTCTTTCTCGCAAGTCTCTCTCTCGTGAGTGTTTCTTAAATGTACTTATCGGATCAATTAAAGGATCAAATGTGGTCTTCTTTCAAGAAAGAGTCAAATCTATGGACCAAAGCAAAGGAATCTTGATGCTAGTGGAAACACAACGGGCCGCCCTTCTTTTGATAACAATAAGCTAGTAGTCCATAACTGATCTCCATTTCTGATAAAGATTGGTTACTATTGCAACCAATAAAACAAATTAAGCCAGTCCAACTTATCTACTTCCCTTTAATCGTAACTATAAAAAGAAAAGTAGATTCATACTTGCATTTTTGTAGTGTTCCAGTTCTTATGGTTTTGCAAAGATGTTCCTTTTTAAATGATCGTATTATTTGCCTCGGAGGGGACAGAATGATCATCTTTATCAAATCATCTTGTTGCCTTTGCTTAGATAATGGGGAACATCTCATCCTTTTTTGGAGATAGTCAACAGTGCTACTACTGCTTCAAATGAAATCTTGGTTTGGCTGCGGACAAGAGGTTATCGAGAAGCTCTCACTAGTGAAAATGATGAACAAAAATATCAGTCATGAAGAGTAGTAGCTATTAGATGAAGAATATGGGAGAAGTTTTTGTTTTGCAAGTTTAACCAGTTTTTGCCAAACGAGAGTAGGAAGTTCTCCCCCTCCCAACTTCTGTTCCTTTTCTAACATCAAAAGTACAGAGAAGCTAAATTGTTTGGCTAAATTTCGTGGATACATGTGAATGTGATTCGATAAGTTAAATAGCAAATGTGAAGTCAAAGTCTGGCTATTTTTTACGTATCATTTTTTATTTTGATTTTGATTTTAATATTTGCATGTAAAATCTGAAGAGAGTACCGAAGATATTTCGATCTCCTTAACTTCTAGTTCTTCAAACCTTTCCTCCACGTTTGCATTAAAACCAATTTAAGGACAAATGCATGTGGGAGCACAGAAATAACAGAACGTATATATCGTGTGGTTCTTAAACTCATCACATTCTATCAAAATCATGAAGCGATGCCTTGTTTGATAAAGATCAGACAATGATAAAAGGTTGAAAAAATGAAGCTCACATTCTATCAAAATCATGAAGCGATGCCTTGTTTGATAAAGATCAGACAATGATAAATGGTTGAAAAAATGAAGATTGAAAGGCACTTTAGTTGGCTAAACAGAAATGCCAAGATGTGAAACTTAATTAGCTGGAGAAGATAAAAGAAGCAATGTCAATCAAAGAAATTATTAGGCATATTAAAACTTGTATTATATTCTTTTCACAAAAAACGTAAAGTCTAATATAAAAATAATTTATGAATTTTATATTTTTTATAAAAAAATAAATAAACAATTTTCGATATATTGAATAATTTCTCGATAAATCATGGTGAAAAAGGAAAATTTGATAAAACGATTCATCTATCACAATGAAGGCGATGCAACCCCATTACTTCAGTTTTGTCCCCTCAAAAGGGATACCCTATTTGCCCAATCAAATTTTCCTTTTTGATATCCCTTTATAAAAAATTAAAGTTGAAATATTGCCTCCCAACTATTAGTGGCTCATCCAATCTAAGCAACTAAAAAGTACCAACAAGTTTTTTGGGTCGTTTTGGTTGATCACGGAGAGACAAGTGTGTGACATATGGCACCCATGTCCTATTAATCAGGAAAGTAAGGAGGCCAGGCAAACCACAAAGTAATACCCTTGAAACTTTTCAAATAATTCACTAGTTAATACCAGCTAAATTTAGTCATAAAATATAAGTAACTATATATCCCCCAATAAAAAAAGGAAGCCAAATAGCACACCCGAAAATATAAAAGAAGCACGCCAATATCACTCATCTGCTTACATCCCTAGATTGAAATTCTAAAGGCTGAGAAAGCCCCAATGATTGAGCCTAATCGTTAAAAGCATTCAGAGCCCTAGAGACTTGTTGGTCCAGCATGACCCAGTAATGAATGGGTCTGTCATAATTCATAGGTCTAGAAGTCTCGGACGTCTTCTATGCTGATTTAGAAGTCTCGGCCTGTGATATCTTTTCTCTCGGCCCGTGATAAAAGACTCCTTAATGTGCTTAGAACCGGAGATTTTATTCAAACTGTCTAAATCCATGAACCCAATAGTATGCCTTTTTTTTTTTTTTTTTATCAACAACGCAATAATTTGGCTATAATGGGTAATTTAGGGAGTGAGTTTAATAGGTGCCTTATGCCTGGTTTTAATATTGAGAATTTATATATAATTGATGATCTGATAAAGTCTTATCATTTCTTTTGAGAGAGTCAGAAAAGGCCAAATGTTTCAGCATTGCCATGCTTGGAATTTAATGGCAGGGAAAGAGTAGCTCATCAGGTTGCAGCTGACCCTAACAAAACAATGCATTTAATGAAGAAATCAGGCAAAGCCTGACAGACACAAACATCAGCACTCTTGTTTAGTCGCAAATCTCATGAAAGTTAGATATTAATTTGGACAGTGAGTCTCATTCATTGGTCGCTCTCTGATCACCGACTTCAAGAACTATCGGATCATTTTCTGAAAATACCACTCATTTCACCAACTTTTTTCTCTTTCTTTCTGCCGTTTAGTAGTTTTTTCCACGACGCTCCGATTTTTTATTCGTCTTCCGAAAGGGTTTTTACTACAAGTCGTTTAGCTTGGCATTACAGGTGTGTAAAAAGCTCAAATAGTTGTATAATACTACGAGTTTTGAAGAAAAAGCTTGTATATGTGGTGACTAAAAAGCTATTGCAATAACAACAGGGCCTTCCAATATCTAAAATTGGCCTATAAGGAAAGGAGTTTATGAACTTCAAAGAGTGAGCAAGTACTACTGCAATAGAGCGGTAAGGGTATTTAATGGTAATAAATTAAAAGATCTGTAATGGTGGTCTTACCCAAAAGAGCATTATGAAGACATGAATGGCCTGTCCATACATATATATTAATGACTTCATTAATGGATTCTGTTCTAAAACCACTATAGTGGCAAAACAAGAAGATATGGATCGCCCACAACAATTTTCCATAAACTTTAATTATGAGTTATGAGAAAATCCTTGTATTTTATCAAAACTAATTAATTAATCCCTATAATATCTCAAGTAATTTAAAACTCTTTGACAGGCTATTACTATTCTCAATTTATAATTTTTTATTCCTCAGATTAATTTGATATAAATGGGATAGGGATATACAGTCGACCTTTTTAATACTACGGAGCAAACCTCGAACAAGTCGATCTGCAACTCTATATATACATAGAGATTGTAAAATCTTACAAATTTTTTTAATCAAGTAATTCCTCCATCCATTTTTCTCTAATAAATTCTATTCAAAATGTTTTTTTTTTCCTCATAAAAACAATGCCTTCATGTTTCCTTTTAAATCGATAAGACTTTAATTATAAATATTTTGGAATCTAACTGAAGACATTTTTTTTATATATATATAAAAACTGAAATGAAATTTAGATTCCAATTTACCAAATTTTGATTAATTTGAGGTTTGCCCTTATTTCAGTGGTTTCATATTTATATTTAAGTTAAAAGACGTCCTAATTAAAATTATTGGTGGGCAACCACGATTAGATTCATTGAGTTTTATATGAAATTAATTAATAAAGCATCTCGTGATTGGGTTTCGTAATAATTAAATGTACAAGCAACCTGTTCCCGTTATGGTTATTAGATTGTTTGTTTATTTTTATTTTTATTATTTTTTTGTTTTTGGTTCATCGAAATTCTTAAATGACCTTAACTAAGAGCATACGTAATAGAAAAATAACCCTTACTATAAATAATTAAATTTGATCTTTTTTTTTTTTTTTGAAAATATGTTTTTTATTGCTTTGAAATTAGATATTTTCATATAAAACCATAAAAAAAAAAATCAAATTATATATATAAAAAAATCTCTAAAAACATTAATTTAGTATTTTTTTTTCAATTGAAAAGAATAGTAGAAAAAACACTTCCAATCATATTAACAAACACACTCTTACTCGTAGTATTGTTACTTAATTAAGTTACATTGTTATTCCTTTCAACACTATATATATATAAAATATATATATGTCATATATATGACCTAAAAAATCAAAATAAATGATATGAAAATCAACTTGATTTTACCAAAAATCAAGAAGTTCTCCCCTTGACAGAAAACAGGACCAAGACCGCGCATCTACATTGGCTCATGCAAAGGGCAATTAATGCCAAAGCAAAACTGAAATGTGCAGATCGATGCCAAGTTCTATACTGTTAGGTCACAAATTTCGCGGAAATTAATTAATTTTTCTCTCGTGAAATGAAATGAAGTCATTATCTCACTAATTACCATGCCGAAGTTTAGTTGTTTTCTTCTAAGAATTTTGTGATGGTTTCTTCCAAGGTTTTGACAGGTAAAAGCCTGCAGAGTAAACGGCTATAGGGTTTGTTTGTTTGTCTGGGACAGAAATTACAATCCAGACCCTTGTTTTTTTTAAACACTATTTTGACCATTGAGCGCCACAATTATCGTTGTTTACATGACCAAACTCATCCTATGTACCATAAAATACCATTTAAAGTTTAGATTTTTCATGAAAGTAGCAAGCAAAGCACCTCTTTTTGTTTTTGGGGTTTCTGGAAGGGGTAGATCTAGGATGCCCATCTTAAAAACAAATCAAATGTGCTTCTATTTATTTATTTATAACGTTCTTGATGGAACCTGTAACCTCTTTCGTCAAGTAAGAAAAGGTTGACAGGAGTAGAAGGGTAGGAAAAAGTAGGAAGAGGTTACCTATCAAATTAATATTAGTACTAAACTTGTGTCCATGATTGAGTTATTATTGTTATTTCTCAACAAGGTAACTGTGTATTTGATTGGTACCAACGCTAGCGATTGAGATTGTTTACCTAAAACCCTCCTACCAAACAAAATCAAGATCAGATCAGATGTACAATTTGTGTCAATTTCCCATCCACAGATATTAATAATTAAGTTCCACATCTGATCATTTTGGACGAACTTGACGCTATGAACAACATTTCCTTAGGTATGTGAACTTTTCCTTGAGAACTGAAATTTTAATAATATGGGATTTTGAAACATGGCAACAAATTTTGGACCGGCCTTTTGGGATGAATCTTATTACTAGACGAACAAACATATATTAGTAAATAAATACTAGTACTATATATGAGTATTATATTTTCTTTCATTTTGGTATTTCCAATACCATCATTATCAAACTTATAGTAGTATTATAATATTGTGATGAATGTGTGTTTATTATCAGTGGTAAAAGAAAATTTTTAACAACTGTATTACAATCATCAGTTATTATTATTAACTTAAAACCTAACCCAACCGACATTAAATTAGCATTATCTCCACATTGCTTGTCGTGAAATAATGTTTAAAATAGCCATGGCACAAGGATTAGAAGCTTCACCACTGAGACAAGAATCTTAAGCTCGGAGATTGAAGCTAAGGCTTCTCTAATCTCGAACATGGATCATTGACAATTGTATTTTTTTTATGCATGTTTTATGTTTGTATATTAATCTGATGTATATATGAGATATGAGAAGCAAAACTATATATAAAGCATGCAACGGAAATCAATTAAAGATAGATTAAAATATATAGCTGTTTAATTTATGGTTTTGATTAAATAAAAATGTTGAAGTCAGAATCTAAAAAAGCGAGCTCAGTCTCCATAAATTTTTAAATTGGTGAAGTTTATAGGGTATTTATTGAAGATATATAAGCATGTAATTATATATATATATATATATATATATATACTTTCACCAAATTTGGGAAGATCCTATAAGCAAGTAATTATATACATATATACTTTCACCAAATTTGAGAAGATCCTATAAGCAAGTTGTAATATCTTTTTGGTACCTTTTGCACCACTCAATACATTTCTGGCAGTGATGACATTGTCCCTCATAGAATTAATTACAGTGAGACTATGCCCTCCTCTTGTTTTTTCTTTCAACATTTTGTTTGCCTGAGAGAGAGGAGATTCAAAATCTGATGGGTAGTATCTTTTTTCTGATAAGGCGAGCATGCAAGCCTACAAATTTTGTTCGTTATTTTCAGATCATGAAGAACTTTTAATTTGTTTTTATCTGAATCTATTTAGCCACATTACCAAAGCTGATTGCTTTCTTTCTTCTTTTTTAAAAGCCGTTTCTAATTATTTCACTCTCAAACTATATATATACGTGTATGTATATATGGAAGTACAAATATTTCATGTTCAAGAGATCCAAAATGTCTCTAATCACATGATTAACCACCAACATCTTTCACTTTAAATACTGACTTCTTATGATGGAAAATGAAAATTTTCTCTATTAATTAGTCTCTCGCTTTATTTTTTTTTTTAAAAAAAGAAGTCTATTAATGCAAAATTTTATATATATAAAAAATCCTCTTTCATTTTATTTATCTTCCATAATCTCAACTTTAATCTTTACTTGGCCAATGCCTCGTCGATAACTTTCATCTACTTCAATCAAACATTAAAATGCTGCAGATGGCAAGGAAATGAGTGTAAGAAACACGCCAAAATTCTGTGCTGGAATTGTACCCATCAATTGATAATGACTATGTAATATTTTAAAAACCAACGGCTGTGAATTATGACAATTACCATCTTGTCAGTTCTTTCAATGGTCGATTTTGCTCCATCGAAGTGGATACACGTGAGTGTCTGTGATTTGTGTTGCATGGTTTCACCTCTCATGGTCAATTATCTTATAACTCATTTATTTTACACTGCTACCCACCTGGAAATCAGCCTACATACATTTATAACACAATGCCGTTGAAGAAAGCTCCAATAATACTATAATAGTATTTCAAAATAGATAAATAAATAAACATTTTTTCTCGTTTTTTAGTAGGGTTTATTAAAATGGAACTGCGGTCCTGAAAAAGGATATTATCCCTTGCCATTATTTTATCTTTCGCATCCCAATGATTTGAAGATTTTTTTTTTTTTTTTAATGTAATTTGAACTTTAAGAAGTTTCTTACTAAAAGAAAGAGAGTAAACTTGCATCAAAAGTAAGAAAAAATTATAACTAACACTTATGGTATCATTTTTTTTTTTTAATTCTTGTAAAGTAATTCTAAGATCGAAATAATTTTATATCAGTGCTGTGCATACGTATTCATATATTTGTCCCGTATGCTATAAAAAAGTAGCAAGTAAATTTTCCATAAATAGCGTGAATATAATTGGAATATCAATTTTCATGTCCCTTTAATTAGCTAATTCTCTAATGCATCGAAAGAAAAAGTGATGTCAACCCTCACAGTACCTTTCCATGAATGCTCGTGCAAGTTTTCTAGGTAAGTACTGCACCATTACCAGAGTGAGGGAGAGAGATCATATAATAATAATAATAATAATAACAACAACTAAATCGCTATATAGAATTTGTTTTTCTTTTCTTTTCTTTTCTTTTTTTTTTTAAAAAACATTAACTACTATGTACAAATTTAACAAAAGAAGAAAAAATGAAACAGGAACATATGTAAAAGAAGTAATTAAGAAGCATGATCTATTAATTAATATTTTTTAATCTCATTTTCAGCTTCTAATGAAGAAGTTAAACAAGGACTGATTATATCAACCCCGTTTTCTAATGAAGATACACAAGGAGTAGAAGAAGAAGAATCAGAAGATGTAGAAGAAGAGTAAAAAGACAAAGGAGAAGAAGGAGAATCATGATGATGTTGAGTAGTAGTAATACTAGTACTAGTACTAGTAATAGTTGAAGAAGAAGAAGAAGGAGAAGGAGAAGAAGAAGCAAAAGCAAGACCAACAAGCAAATCTACAAAAGCACCAATGATATGCCCATGATTGCTCTTTCCATTCAATTTCAAATAGCAAGACAAAAGCTCTTCAAGATCTTCCCAGTCTGTTAAACCATGAGCCTCAACCATCTCCTCCATCGACTTCTTGAAATCCAAATAAGGGTCTTGAGACTCCATTGACAATACCACGCTTTCTTTAAATGGAAACTCACCACCTGCCTTAGCTTCTTCCAAGATTGAATTAGTCTCTCCTGGTTCAAAGAACAGCCTCTCTGACCTCAAACCTTTTATTACTGTCTCTATGGAGTCACCAGCTCCAGACTCATCTGATGCTGTCGAGAATGTAGCCAACTCACAAGAGTTGGTGAAGCATGCCTCAGCGGGTGTACAGTCCACCACATCATTGTTAGTAGCAGCATCTAAGAAAGCTGAGTTAATGGTCTTGTACATGCCATCACTTGTTCTAAAACTAAAAGAGAGGGTTCTTGGTTGGCTGCAATAAGCAGGCCAAGGCCATAAAGGCCTTGTTGATTGATCTTTACTTGTATTAATCTTGGAGAGAAAAGGGAGCTTCATTTTCTTGCCCATCAGCTGGTTTGCTTTTGGTTTTTGCCTAAGGTCGATGTGCCTAATTAAGAGAGAAATGTAAGTTTGGTTCAAATGACTTTTGGCGGTGAGAAAAAATGTAAAATTTTGAGAGGTTTATAATTGAGAGAGGCAGGGTAACGAGGGCAGGAGATTTAGAAAGAAGTGGTGAATAAGAAACGCGGAGAGGGAGGGAAATGGGGAGGTTGGAGATGCTGGTGGGGACTTTCACCCTTTCTTGTTTGTGTATTAAATTTTGAGCTTTTGAAGTAAATGTCGTTCAGTTGAAGTCATTGAATATGATGGTACTGTTGCTTATTAAATAGAGTTATCTACAACTATGTTTCTGTTGCACACTCTTCCTTTCTAGCTTCTTGTAATTCAATTACGTGACCTAGCTAAGCTTTGCTGTTTTCTTGTGTGTAAGAATTTGAATGTTGAAACTTTTCAAATAATCTACTGCATGCTGTAATAATTAAATTACAAAGTATGGTAGCTTTTGTTATTACGAACGAGCTAGGAGCAGAATCCATCATTAAATTAATTAGTGCGCAAGCCGTAGTTTTTAAATTTCATTTACTCCCTATGAAAAGGGAATCTCAATTATCAATCCACAAGAGGAACTCATGAACTCCTCGGACCAAAGGAAAACCATAGATTAATGCAGAAACTAATAAACTAGAACACCATATCCGTCCCAAATTAATGTCAAATGTCGACACTGAAACCAACGGCTTTCAACTAGCTAGGTTAAGCATTCAACCTTCATGTTGACGCAATGTCAAGAAACTTTAGCTCCATGCTTTCAAGAAATAGATGGACAATTTATTATTTTATTCAATTCATATAGCTAGCTAGCTAGTTAGTTTTTCTCTCATATCCATGAGGGATTTATGGATGGTAATTTTTCGAGAACGGCTAGCTCTGTGTGGCCATGTCTTTAGTAACGACCTCATGACCATATAAATTAAATAGTTTTGTCATCGTGCGTAGAACACAAATAATCCAGAGAGAAACATATGAGAAATGGATATTCCATTAAATAACTTTCTAAATATTTCAAACTCATTTGCTTACAATGATCATTTAAAGTATTTAATTATAAAATCATTCAATATATTTGGCTCTCTAATTAAATGATTTTATAGTTCAACTGACACATGAATAATATATATTAATTCTATCTTTTTTAAGAAGTATAAAATTAATTCAACCCACCTCTAATAGAAGGAATCATGCATGTTAATTATAGGGGTTTTTTTTTTCTTTTTTTTTTGAAAAAAGGTAATTATGTTAACTAAAGTTATTCGAAAATAGAAATTTAAATATGGAGGGAAGCAAAATTTTAAGTTGAAAATAAGACAAGAAAGAGAAGTAAAAAACAAAAACAATTAACATATGGAGCAAGTAGGGATCAAAATCATATGTTAGTACTTTAACGAATAACCCTCTTTCACATGCCCTCCATATGCGTTCCAGGGAAGAGATTGAGACTTGAGAGTGACAGAGTTATTTTGTTTCTTCGCCCATTTGATGGATTGGTAAGCTTTTGTGTTCTGAGCATATATATGACGCGTTCGACAGGGAAAACCCAACTTGTTTTTTCATTTTTCACATCAAATGGATTTCTGTAAATTATTCTTTAGCCATTGGATATTGAGAGCAGTTACAACTAACTCCTTCGACGACTTTTGTTGACCATTATATATCTTGTTAACATTCCTCTAAACCCCAATATGATGGTGTGTTCTTCTAAGAATTTATATTGTTAAATGGCACATTAATTTGGGATCTACAAAAGGACCAGCATATGCTTTTCAGAAGGCATTGATAAACAAGAGTCAAGGATTAAATTAAATGTTTTCGAACATGAATTACCAAGTTACAATCACATTCAAATCCAGGGACCAAAGAAGAATTTCCTCGATGGTTTTTGCAGCTTGGCTTGCACTAAGAATGGCTTCAAGTTTTTAAGATATATTCCAACGCTACAGCTGAAACCTTGAAAGTTAACAGGTCCATTTTAAATTGTACTGGAAGTAATTAACCTGTTGTCAAATTAATTAACATGCACACAAGACCTCATCCAATTTTAATCAACATAATTACTCTTACGTTCTTAAGTTTAATTAGAGTTTCAAATTTAAACTGATTCTGAATAATTTAATGAACAATGCAGTACAAAATACCAAAACAACTGCAAGCCCACATAATTCATTAAGGGGACCATATATATACATGTTGTATTTGATCTTATTGTGGTCCCTTGTATATATCAATATCTAATGCTATTAATTGATAGCCATTTTGATGTTCAAAATCTTTCATACATAAGTCGCACTCAGAATTTTAGGCATAAGGTTGCAACCAATGGCAACCCAACAACTGCAGAGGGGCATTCTGCCCCACTTCGTATCACACAGAATGTTTTGTGGTTCATGCTTGCTTCTGAAATATGCAAGTTTGTTTCTTCTTCCCCGAAATTGCACTTGAGGTTGTCTCCATGTTCACCTTGCTTGTAAAATCTGGTTGAGATACAGATATGGTGTATCAATTTCGTGTATTGTCTTAAATATTAAATGAAGCTGAAGCAATTGTGAATCAAAGATATAACTTAATTTGTACTAGGTTTTCTCAACTTTAAAGGGACAAGATGTATTTTAGGGGTGGGAATGGGATATATATATAATCTAAAATGTTATTCTCTTTTACGAGAAGCTAAGGTGGAAGTCGGGACCTTATCCCTTACTCCCATATTCCTGGGGGACCATTCATGTGTTTTATGTTCTTTCCCTAGTGAAATAATCCTAGCATATATGCCCAAGCTCTGCGAAAAAAGACCTGTCATTTTACCTCTCTTTACTGGTAATGGATTTGGCTACTGCTCTCCTTGTGTATTTCAAACATCAATAAAGAAGAAAATATAAATTCCATTCAAAATCTTAATTACTACTTCTACCACGATTTTGATGATATTTCATTATGTGAATGAATTGTTTACTTGCGGCTAGCTAACTACAGAAAATGTCATTGACCTGTATGCTTGTTTGCAATATCACCCTTTGCACATGCACCGAATCAATCAATTTCACCAGTAGCATTACCTAACAGTTTTCAAAGTTGACCTTCCATCCTTATTCCTTCGAAAATAGTAAAAAGATTCTCTTATAATTACATGTGGTATGCATAAAAATTTTCAAGTGGAAAAAATTTAAAAGCAGACATCACTTGAAAGAGAAAAAAGTTATATATACAACGGAAAAAGGGAAAAGGATGATTTCCAATTCATAACACTTTTTTTTTAGTGATACCTAGAGTCAACCCAAATTTTGGGTTATATAATTTCCTCCGATTTTATTCTTTTTAAATTTTTATTTTTATTATTTTATCTTATTTTTATTTTATCTTATTCATTTTGTTTTAGTTTTTATTTTTATTTCAGTACTTATTGCAAAAGAAAAAGAAAAAGAGGAAAAGGAATAAAAAAATACAAAAAATATATATAAAGATACAAAATACAAAAAAAAAGGTTACATGATAGAATAAAAATTGAACTAAATATGAAGCAATTAAGAATGCAATTGGACCAATTGAAAACCCTAGAACATAAATTAAAAGATATAGAGACCTAATTGAAAAAATTAAAAATATAAAGACTATAATGACACTCCTAGAGCAATGATACATTTGGAACAAAATTAAATATATAGGGATCTAAATTGACACAAGAAGCAAATGACGATATCAATTTGGAATCACTCGAATGACTTATCGTCCGAATCCATCTAATTCTACAATGACGAGCTAGCTATTGTACTCCACCATCATCCGACCCTATTCACCTTCATCAACGAAGACAATAGGCTCGAGGGACAATAGGCCAACTCCTTCTGTATCGTAATTTCGATCAAGAATTGCAGTGTACCCTTTATTCCGTCATGCTCGCAACAAGCTTACGCACATAAAACACAATACACAAATATTAAGCGTAAGTTTTAGCTCGAAAAGTTTGTTTTGTTCTAAAGGAATTTGAATTCAAGGAAATTGATCCCGAAGTGAGGGGATGACTTATGGGTTATAAATAGGGGTCGAATTAAGGTTTCAAAGTAAAAGGAGGAAGAGAGAGCGAGAGAGTGAAGGGGGATTTAGAAAAAAGAAAGAATATGAACTACGAGAAATTTCGAAGGAATTGTGAAAAAAAATAATGAAGAACCATTGAATGAATTAGGGAGAGAATTAGGGTTTTCAACTTGTTTTTGGAAAGAAAAGAAAAAGAGAGATACTAGAGTAGAGATAACAAAATTGAAAGAAATAAGAATAGAAAGGTAAACCTATTTCAGTCTTGCCTTTGGGTTTTTATTACGAGGACACTTTCTTGCCTATTGAAACCGTGACCATCACCGCATACCACTCCTCAATCTAGTTCTCTCAATCGAACACCCAAGCAAGAAATTGTTGTCTTTTTTTATTTATTTACAACTCTAATCACTCGTCACCATTAAACTTTAGTTTGATTGATTTAGTGGATTAACTAATTTAGGGCTATTAGGGTTAAGGCTAGTAGAAAGGGAAAGGTAAGATTAATCAAAAGTTTGAGACCGACATTTGATATATTTAGGAAGATTTGAGTTAGACAAGAAATATTGGGTTTCTAGCATGATATGGGTGAGATCAAGAGTTTTGTGTAAGCGAGGGATGAGTCTATCCGAGAGTAAAAAAGTGATAAGTTTGACGAAGAAGGAGAAGCCTAGGGTTAAAGCGTGCGAGGAAGAAGAAGGGTTTGAGAAAGAGATTGAAAACCAATGGTTGTTAATCAAGAGGAATGTCATTACCTAACATCGAACGAGACTCCCAAAAAAATTTTAGATTTGCATGCATTATGATTTATTATAGGGATGCGAGTTATTATTGAATTTGAAGTCATCACCTAGTATTGAAGGAACTATGAACTTAAAAATAGCATTAGTGCGAGAGATTGTAGGGTAAGGAGTTGGTTACGCTTT